TTTATCTGTGGGCTCTGCACAGCAAGCCCTGCTGACTCCCAAGAACATTTCGTTCACAAAAATAAGTTCACATTTTGAAGTATTGTATTTTGCATGTTCAGTCTCTTCTGAGAGCCTTACAGGTATTAAATAATTGTCAATCCCAGTAGCTACATTTGTCAAAAGCACATCAGCTTGCAGATGAGTTTATCCACATCATAAATTGATATAAAATGGGTCATCATGATATGCTTATTACACATACAGGGGAGAGGAAAAAGGGAACTAAAAATGAAGCATCGAAGTCCTAGCCCTACGTGTGTAATGTACTCTTTAGAAATACCCTGAGGCCAGGAGAGTTGCATTTAGGAAATTAGTACTTGGCTCCTGTGTAACCTCCTCTCCCTCCCCAAAACCAAGAACATGGGAATCATTTTATGGGAGAAAACACTTACTTTTAAGAAAATATGGTACCCAGTGAAATGTTTCCAGATGTTAGAAAACTCAAATTGACTTGAGGAATAGAGAGAAACTCCTGGGCTCATTCTGTTGAGAAATTTGGGGAGTCGCTGTTTAGAGGGTTGGAGAACAACAGCAGTGAATGATGTCTTATGTTGAAAGGCTGAAGGAGAGCAGAGATTCAGGTTTGTGTCTTGGGCTCACCTTTCATGCCGAGGCAGTCCCTGGGCTGCAATCACAGGGCAAGAGAGAACAGGTCCCTCCAGGTGACGTTAGGCTTACATTTACTAAAAAGGACTGATTGATGATTTTGACAGAAGACTCCTTTTCTATAGCAAGTGTTGAAAAGAATGTTTTATGAAAAATTCATGTTCAAAAACTCTCACATTTAGCCTCCCACAGAGTAAATTTTGCATATATTTTAGAAACAGTTTAAGTTCTGCCCTGGCCGGTGTGGCTCAGTGGTTTGGGCATCAGGCTACAGACGGAAGGGTCACCAGTTCGATTCTCAGTCAGGGCACCCGCCTGGGCTGCAGGCCAGGTCCCCAGTTGGGGGTGAGTGAGAGGTAAACGATGGATGTTTCTCTCCCTCTCTCCCTCCCTTCCCCTCTCTAAAAATAAGTAAATGAAATCTTTTTAAAAAACAGTTTAAGTTCTTCCTCACATGATTTTTCATATTCTCATAGCCTCCAAAGCTCTTTCTTTTGAGAGATTTGCCCTGTTTGCACAGCCCAGCTCCACACCTCACAGTTTCTGTAGCAGGCTGCTCACATCTCTACATTCCCATGTTTGTTAGCCCCTCATTTGCCATTTTAAGTTTTTCCTTTCATTCCTAATACTTTCCTAGCCTTTGGTTTTGGCAACTAATTTAATAAAACAGTACAGTATAGTGAGAAGCCATGTGGTTGTTAAATACACATGTGGTAGGTATTTGTTGGTTGCCTGCCCAGTATCCACTTTCCCTTCCTCCTGACTATATTACTCTATTTTCTTTTTTAAAATTATTTATTTATTTATTTTTAGAGAGAGAGGAGGGAAGGAGAAAGAGAGGGAGAGAAACATAGGCTGGTTGTCTCTTGCACACCCGCAGCTGGGGCCCTGGCCCGCACACCGGTCCTGTGCCCTGACCAGGAATTGAAAAAGCGACCTTTCAGTTGGTGGGCTGGCGCTCAAGCCACTGAGCCATTCCAGCTGGTGCTATTAGTCCATTTTCTATAAGGAACTTCAAAGATTCTTGATGTTCAGTCAGGTTTTTGTATAGAACTCCCCCTCTACTCCATAGGCAGGTAATTAGCATATTCTTTCCTCCTGGTCTCAATGATTCCTTAAGCAAATGGATGTATAACCCAATTGAAGCTAATATGATGGAAGAAATTTATTTGTTAGGGCTCCTCCCACTTCTGTATGGGCCACTAGAAATGATTCAGTCTTTCCTGCTGCATGTGAAAAAGGCAGACAATGAAAAAATAGCAAACCTCTGTCCTCTGGAGCATACGTTATAGTAGGAAGAAGCAGGCAGTAAACAAGATATATTAGAAGGTATTCAGAACCAAGGAGAAAAATAAAAAAGATAAAGGAAAAGGCTTAGAGAGGTAATGGGAGGCAAGATCTGCATAGAACTTTGTAGACTATTATGAAGACTTTAGCTTTTACTCTGGATGAGACAAGGAACCATGGGGATTTTAAGCAGTGTGACATGGTGTGACTTCAGCGATAACAGGACACTCTGGCTGCTGTGTTGAAAGGCAGAAAGGGTGGAAGCAGGCAGACTACGTATGACAGCTATGAGGCTTCATCAAATCAAAATATCGGTTCCAATTTGCCACTCCTCTTAATAGAATTGAATCTAGAGAGGGAGAGGGAGGCATATCTTGAAACACATTGTGGGTACAGCTTTTGGCACATGGAGCTGACTGGACATAGAAAACTCACAGAATTTTTAAGAAAAATCAATGGGCAAAAGCATTACCAGCAACTAAGAGACTGAGGATGTGCAAGGTATTGAGACCTTTGGGCTCTCAATTTCCTATAGGCAGGAATTGGGTTGACAAACTCACTTATCCACTACGAAGGGCATCTTATCAAGAGCCCTTTCCAAATGACTAAGGAAGATGAAAGAAAAAATAGTTTTCTAGACTGAAGAGTTATTCAGAGGGAGGAGGATGCCTAATCATGGAACATCACCTCCCCTCCCCAAACAGAAAAACTTCACCATCTTTGGTCAGTGGGATTGAATAATTGTATGAACCAGTGACTGCTATTTGCTTCTATTACTCCTCTTTTTAGATGAAAGGGTTGTTGTTGTTGGGGTTTTTCTTTTTTTGGTGTGGTTATATTGTCCCTGTCCATTATTTGTTTTGTGTTGGGTGTATGAGAAGATACTATCTCTTTTAATTTACAGGTCTCTACATCAAGAACAGCCATATCTGGACCTAAGGTAGATCCTGAATTTCAAGGATTTGGTGGACCATTTTAGGGGTCTTGGGAAAGAATGAATGCATTTTGCATGTGAAAACGATGTGAATAATTCTAACCAAGAGAGTAGACTGTGGTCAGTTGAAGATTTGAGGGATGATATCAGGAGCAATAACATGTTATTGGACATGTTAAGTTTAAGTTGCCTACAGGCATCCAAATAGGAATGTTAAGTAGGCAGTTGAATACACAAGTTTGGAGTTGGAGTGGAGAAAGGGCCAATGTACACAAGTATACATCTGGGAGTAATCAGTGTGTAGATGGCTTTTTAAGCCATGAGGTTAGTTGAGATCAACAAGTTAAGTGTAATCGCTTGAAAAGGGTTCCAGGGACTGAGCCTGGGGTCACTTCAGCATTTAGTGGTTGGGGAGTTGAAGAGTTACGGGCACAGGAGATTGAAAAGGAGCAGCCAGAGAGTAAGATGAAAAGCAGTCAGTGCTAATGAAGTATTATTCCGGCGTTGTTATAGTACCACATTCATCCCTCCTTCCCTTCTCTTCCTTTTCCTCCCTCACCAAAAACATCAACACTGTCACTAGATCATGGGGGGGGGGGGAAGGGGGAGGGGAGGGAGGTGTGTACCGGAAAGCACAGTGCTAATCACCTTACACGAATAACAGAATTATTGTAAAAGTTAGTTGGTATCTCCCCCCACCCACTACATACTCACTAGGAGGGAAAAGTCTTTATCCTTCTGGTCTGCTTTTCAGGATTGAGAAGCTAAGTCTTTGCATTAATTCTGGGTCCTTTGCTAATCCCCCAAGCAGGATGCCTTTGAGAAGGGGGTTGGAGGCTGGCGCTGTGAATACAATTGGGAATGAGCAGCTGGAAGAGAGTGGGGTCTTTTTCTCTCCAAAACTGGGAAAGGAGGGACAGAGGCTGTGAGGAAGGGGTCCAACAGCTGTCCGAGGCTTGTGTTTAGCTAGCAAGCAGCTCTCTCGCGCCGCTAGGTCCTCGGCAGGGAGATGGCTGGCCAGCAGTGAGTGCAGAGTAGAGAATGGACGCCACGCTCTTGAAAGCACCGGTGTGAGCCACCTGTGCTTTAGTGCCGGTCACCTGGGTAAGCGGCTGCTGTGGAGCCTGACGAGGGGCGCCTGCAGCAGCACTGCTTTGCAGAAGGACAGACTCTGAGCTAAGGCGGGGGCCTAAGTGCTTGCAGGAGACCACTTATTATGCATAAACTATGGCTGGTTTGGGGAGCGCCTCAAGACCACGCCGCCCAGCCATGCCGTGGAGTGTTAGGGAGCAACGGCTGTGCGGCTGTGAGCTGAGAGGCGCAGCTGTCGAGCCAAAGCCTGGGCATCCAGGGTGCAGCGTCCGTCTGCCGGACCGGGCGGCACCGCTGTGGGTGGAGATAACGGCATTAAGTGGTATGAATCTACTTTCTCTCCATTTTCTTTTGGGAAGGGAGCTGCATCTTTTGGTGTAAGACATGAACCCTGCAGTTTCTTGAATATTCGAGGTAGGGAGGACTCAAAAAGGAGCCTGAACTTTCTAAAAATTAGGCACTAGGGCTTGAATGGCTCACTGAAAAAAATGTGACTTTGTGATAAGGTATTACCATTTGATACATTAAAGAAAGGAGAAGTTTTAGCTGAAGAAAAGTTTACTCGTATGTGATGTTATCAAAGCTTTCACATCCCCCCCCCCCCCGCCCCAAATATGTTAGTCTTATTCCGTGCCATTCTGGAGAGCAAGACATAAACGTAAGAACAGATACTTACTACTACGCCCCAGAACATGAATTCTGCTCAATACATATTCAATAAATGACTGAATGTGGGCACGACAAATGAAAACTTACACGGAGGCAGGTTTTTGACTCAGCTCTTCTAATAATTCAAGTTATTTTAATATTAAATAGACTACCCTTGAAAGGCAGGGAAATTCTCTATAACTATGAGTGAAACGGGAGCTAAAAGATCATTTTTCAGGGATGTCATAGAATGTGGTCATCAGATAATGGTTAGACCACATAACCTCTGAGATCTCTGAAAACTCAAGATGCTCCAGGTCTACATCTCTAACCCAAGGGTCTCTACACATAGACTCAGGAGAAGTATAACTAGGACTTACGATCTCAGAGGCATTTTCAAGAAGCATGTGTTCAATGGCATGTTTATTAAACAAATGCTCATGACAGATTTTCACAACAGCAACAAATGGTATTTCACTACATCGAATCTCCCTTACTAAGAAAAAAAATGACAAGCACGACAAGGTTGATGGGTTTGAATTATTTTTTCATGTTTTTGGGGCAAGCCCAGTCTCCTCAGTTGTTGTCCTGTGTTTTCTCTTCTTGAAGATCACCATCTTTCATTTTCTTCATCCCTTCTCTGGCTAAGTGTCCCCGGAAGGCTGCTTGGATTTTGACAGCAGCATTCTCTTCTTTTTTTTTATCTTCTTCAGAAAACTCCTTCATGGAAATGAGAGAGACTTTGTAAACATGCCATAGGGTGTTTTGATGCCATAAAAAATAGTGCATAAATTTAATCAATTTAGGACTGTAACAATTGAGATCTGGTACTACCCGAGGGAATTTTATATATTGTCACATTGTCTATGTACCACATGGTAAAAGCCAAAATAGCAGGCATTTTGTTTTGTCATTCTGTAATATGTCTCTGCAATAAATCATCATTGCATACTTTCTCCTCCCCCCAAAATAGCTCCTATTTCAGCCCTGGACAGGTTGCTCAGTTGGTTGGAGCATCATCCTGATATGCCAAGGTTGGAGGTTCGATCCCCAGTCAGGGCACATAAAAGAGACAACCAGTGAAGGCACGTCTAGGTGAAACAACAGGTCAATGTTTCTCTGAAGTCAGTGAATAAAAATTAAAAAACAAAATAGCTTGTATTTAACAGTTTCCTGAGCAATAACATTTTTAGGGGGTGGAGAATCCCTGAAGCATGGGAAAAATGTTGAGAATAACCAATGTGCTGTTTCAAAATAATCATGATTACATAAAATGAATCAAAGTGTTAACTTCTTAATTTTTCAATAACTAGCTAACCAAAAGCCCAGTGACAGAGGGAAGCCTATGTAGTCCAATAATATCAATTTTAACATGATTGGTTTAAGTTTTGTATCTAGCTTCCTTTTTTGTTTTTTAAATTTAGGTATGATCTACAGAGAGTGAAATGCACAAACAGGAAGTATAAAATTCAATAGGTATATAGCTTTTAATATTTTAAATTATAAAAGTGATACACATACATTTAAATAAATATCACTGGTAGTGGAAGCTTTCCCCCTTCCCAAATCCTGGTACTAAGAGGTGACTATTATTATGGCTTGAGTGTATATATTTTTCCAAAATTTCTGAATAGATGAAGTATTCATGTGGATACATACATGCCTTTTTATTTTTTAAAAAAGATTTTATTCATTTATTTTTAGAGAAAGGGGAAGGAAGGGAGAAAGAGAGGGAGAGAAATATCAATGTGTGGTTGCCTCTCATGTGCCCCCTACTGGGGACCTGGCCCGCAACCCAGGCATGTGCCCTGCCTGGGAATCAAACTGGTGACCCTTTGGTTCGCAGGCCAGCGCTCAGTCCACTAAGCCAGGCCAGCCTTTTTATTTTAAGAACGAGATTATGCTATTCACATAATGTTCTGTTACTACTTTTTCCATGTAACAACCTATGTTGGTTCTCATCATCTATGTTATTATTCAGTATATAACTATGCCCATTTCTTTTCATGACACCATTGTATTACATTGTATTCGTGGGCTTTGATTTGTTTACTCAGCCTCCTATTGACAGACCTCTGGCTTTTTTCCCTCCCCTCTCCCCCTATTACAATAATGAGGCAAAGCTGGCTCTTAAACTGAAATGTAAACCAAATAGTATAAAATCCTCTGTGATGATGCTCCAATATGGGCCAATAAATTATTCTGAAGTTGGAAACCAATGAGATCTCAACTCACACTCACGAAAACCTGTGTAAGGGGACCTATGAAAGATGTAAGGAAACATCTTTCCTTCCCTGACCTCCCACTGTATCTCATGTTAGGCTGACTGAGTTGTACTGATGTAATTCTGGGATAATTTATAAAGGTTATAGGAAAAGTTATGCCCTACTGGGTAGAAGGTAAGGTGTTGCTTGAGGAGGATGTCCATTTTGGGTGTTGATTACTGGGTAACTAACTGGGATGTGAAAAGGAACTCAAAAGTTTCGCCTTCAATGTGGTGGAGCGTTAAGTTCTTCTTTCTCACTAGACTTGGTCCTCTTGAGTCTGGACTATGAAAAATATAGTGATGTGCTGGTAAATGCTTAAAAAACTACTGGCTCTCCAGAAAAAGTCCTGATTTAGAGTATTTGTCGTGGTCTTAATATTCTTTCTATGGCTGATTTCAAGCTACCACAGTGACATTACCAAACACAGGGTTGAGGAGAGATGTACTCATTCCTCTCCTGAAAGCTGCAAGCTGGCTCCCGCACACGGAATACACAACTCACGCAGGCACCTACCCAAGCCTTCACTCCTTAGGTGCAGGCTGTGAGGCAGGAAGTCATTTATGTAGAGGGCAATGCACGCAAGGTGAGTAAGGCACATTGTGTGAAGCCATTTCATTTGGTTGTATGTAATTCCTTGTGAGTTCCCTTGTGTTATCTCTGACCCTTTGTCACTGTGTGGTGGTAACAGCATCAGTTAGTGAGAAGCTCCCAAACTGGAAAGTGAACCTGAAGGATCAAAAATGGGGCTGGAGAGTTCTGCCTGTTCTTTCCCTTGAAGAGATTTTCCTAATTGTTGACAATCTTGGGAAATAAGATCTTATCTTAAGGGGAAATGAGCTTTCCTTTATAGGTGGCATGGCCAAAAATAATCCACCAGTTAGTTTAGCATTGATGTTAGTTTTCCACAAAGCAAAATAATAATTTTAACAACATAGATAACAAACTAGATTCATATTTAGAGTATAATTTTAGATTGAGTGATATTCTTTCTAAGAATCCAAAGGTACATGGAGAATATAACTTACGAAGTCTGTGACTGGTGTCTCCTCCTTCACAGATGTCTGAGACTCTTCCTTCTCAGGTGGTTCTTGCTCCTGGAGAGAAGGGAGAGGACCGAAGAGGCAATGTTTCCAAAATAGTAAAGTCTTGGATCAATCTGCTTAAGGGTAACTAAATATTACTTTAAGTCATGGAGAAGAAGTGGAAATTTAAAAATACTGATTTTTAAATGAGGGAAATGGGAAAAGAAGGAATAAATGAAAATGCTCAAGGAAATGTGAATAAACAAATATTAAAGGAATTGGTAAACAAAAATGCTTATTTATTTATTTATTTTTGCTTTTGAAATATATGTAATGTTGGTTTTTTAAAAATTAAAGAAAAACATTTTATTTATTTATTTTTAGAGAGGGGGGAGGGAGGGAGAAAGAGGGAGAGAAGCATCAATGGGTGGTTGCCTCTCATGCATCCCCCACTGGGGACGTGGCCTGCAACCCAGGCATGTGCCCTGACTGGGAATCGAACCAGCGACCCTTTGGTTTGCAGGCTGGCACTCAATCCACTGAGCTATACCAGACAGGGCAGGAATATATGTAACATTGTTTTATACTAAATATAAAAACAAATCATTGTCTTATACTAAAAGTTGATAAGATGCTGTAATGAATCCTAAATAAAGGGTAAAGAAGAGGTGCCAATATTTTCTAAAATAGAAATGAAATAAATGTCATTGTGTTTTATAGTGTGAAATCAAGGTGACTTTTTAATGAAGTTTGTAGATTAAAAGCTAGGTCAAAAAAGTAGCTATGTAATACTGTAATACTTATTTTAAAAAGTTGTGGGGAGTGATTTAAACAGAAAAAGGGAAACCGGCTCTGCCTGTTTTGACATGGTTTTTGAAATATTCCTCCAAAATAGAGATATCGCTAATTTACAACTTATGGGAAGAGCTTCCTTAATCCATGAAACAGAAAGACTATATAAGCTAATCAAATAAAGTATTTAAAATTCAAAAGGGAAGAGAGAAACAGCTGATATCGTACAAATATGTTAAAATTTTCAACATTTTCCCTTTGATTTCAATAAAGCATGAACACAGGGAATCCAGATAAATGGAAATAAACAGAACTCCCCCTTATCTGGCAGGCACAAATGGGTGGGAATTCACTTGTGAACTCATGGAATAAGTGACAGATATTTCCCCAGGAAATTTCCCAGATCTACTGTGGAACACTATCAAAAATTGAACTTCGTTAAGTCCTTTTAATTCAAATATCTACAAGTGCTTTGTGGCTAAAGTTTTATCCCAGCTGTCTAGAGTAGTGCTTTCTCAGACTTTAATGTACCTACATTTTACTTTGGGGGTCTTGTTAAAAATCAACTTCTGATATGTAGACCTGGAGTGGGGCCTGGGACTGAATTTCCAGCAAGCTCCCAGTTGATGCCAATGATGCTGGCATTTCTTAACTGGCATTCCTTATCTGGACCACAAAACAGAATATTCTGACTCTTTTCTCAGTTCTCTGAAGGATGATACATAACTAGAAACATTCTAGATACAAAGGAGAGACCCTGATTCCTTAGTGCGACAGTACCTCCCACTTAGGGCTTAATTATTAATATTTTGAGGAACTTTGGTTGAGAAAGGCTGGTTCTAAGAATGCTACTAGAGAGAGGATAGGTTCAGCCTCTGAACAGACTAGCTTTATAAAGAAAATTCTAGCTACCATTACCATCTTTAATTCTACTCAGTCTTCTGTCAAGTGTCAATGATAACGAAAATAAATAGAAGTGTTTTATTTTATGAACTATCACTCATTAAGTCAACAAATATTTATTATCTGCTACTGCTATGCACTGTAATGTCCAATAAAATCTGAAGAATAATTACTCTATAACTTTCCATTACATTCTTCCTGTTCATCATCTTAAACTAGTATCTCTATGCAATTCAGATACTTTAGAAAAGAATTTCTCATCTAAAAGAACATTATAATTAAGAAGGTTTAATAAGATATTTATGAAGCCTCTCACTATTTTCACGATTCTGGGGAGATCCCAATAATCTCTGCTTTGGAGACAGGAAGAAGAAATAACCAGATCCATTAGTTTCATGGGACCATACCTTGAATGCATGGTTGTTGTAGAAGCGGTCATCTACCTTAGCCCCCCATTCTGCCGGATCACAGTTGGTTTCTAAATAATAAAAATATAATAATTTTATACCTGTTTTGAGTTCATTAAAGCAAATATAAAATAACACAAAACAAGGGTTGTTTTTGTTTTCTTTTTCAAATCCCAGGTTCATTATTGCTAGTTAAATTCTTATTGCTGGCCCTGGCTTATGTGGCTCAGTGGACTGAGTGCTGGCCTGTGAACGAAAGGGTCGCTGGCTCAATTCCCAGTCAGGGCACATGCCTGGGTTGTAGGCCAGGTCCCCAGTAGGGGTGCACGAGAGGCAATCACACATTGATGTTTCTCTCCCATTCTTTCTCCCTCCCTTCTCTCTAAAAATAAAAAAAAAGGAAAAAAAAGAAAAAAGAAAATCTTATTGCTGTTGAACATAGCCTAGCGCTGCAGATCTAACCAGTGATCATTAAATAGATGCTGATGAATTAAACATTGGATGAGCCATTGGGTATATTTAGCAAGGCAGTAAAAAACCGTTAGTGCTGCCTTCATAAAATTTATAACAAAATGGGGGAGAGAGAACAAATGCCAATACTTAAATATAAGTATAGAAACTTATAAGCATAAATTAGTAAACACAGGAAAATGTATAAAAATAAATGCTAAATAGTAAGAAAGTTTGGAAAAATGAAGGATGGGAATGTTTTTTAAAATTGAGGCATATTGTATAGGCAGTTGACATGAATAGAAAGAGGTATTTATATTAAAACAAAATTTTTCTTTAATTTCTAAATATGAAGGATTTGAAACTTAGAAAGTAGAGAAAAACAAATTCCCATGCACACATTACAAAGATTCAACAATTATAAACTTGTAATTTATCTTACTTTACCTGAAACTTCACTCACTTTTCTGCTCTTTCTTCTGATTTTCAAGCCAATCCTAGGCATTAAAATACTTTACCTACCAATATTTATTTCAGCATGAATCTCTAAGATAGAAAGCCACAATACCATTATCATACCTAAAAATACTAATTCCTTAATATAATCCACTACCCAAATTTCCCTTATTGTCTAATAGTATTTAAGAATATTTTTAAATTTTACTGTTGGTTTGATCAAATCAGGACCTAAACAATGGGCACACATAGCCTTTTACTATGTCTTTTAAGTCTCTTTTCATTGAAAGCTACCAACCTCCCACCCCGTATTTTTTCCTTGCAATATATTGATAAAATTTGGTCATTTTTTCTTTGGAGTTTCCCATAGTTTAGGTATGTTTTTATTCCATTCCCATGGTATTTTTAATGAGTTCTTCTGCCTTTGAATTTCCTGTAGATTGCTAGTTAGATCTACAATTCAATCTGATTCCAGTTTGATTGTTTTTGGCAAAAATGTAGGTAGTGCAGTGTAATTCTGTCAGGAGACATATAATAATAATACCTGGTTGTCTCTCTTTACATTTTCTGTGGGCCCATTGAGGATGAGGATTGTTTAGGAATTTCTTCAGGTTTTGCACAATGGCAGTGTTCTAATTTTATCATTACTTCATTTCTGGAGCAGTCAATAAAGAAAAACTTTCCCTCATCAACTATTTGGTTACCCTGAAATAGAGTTCTTACAGAAAAGGTAGGTTAAAGGTTTGATTCTTTCCCTTTGTTTACCAATTTTCAGAATAATCAGTTGGTTCCTTGGGATCCTCTCAAGGAGCTGCTGCTGCTTTTTTTTTCTTTTTTTTAAATCATTGTGAACTCATGAATATTAAACAAATTGGATGAATTTTAACCCATTGTATTTCTTATTCCAATTGATGCTCTGTCAGAAATTGGCCAGTAGGGGCTTATTAAGGTGCTCAGATGATCTTTGAGTCCTTTGGAAACAACTCTAGGAGTCTTTGATGGTTTCCTTATTTTCTGGTACGGTAAGATGTTCAGGCTTATTTTCATATTTCCTGTCCAGTTCAAGGAAGTACCTAGTTCTTCAAGAAGAGTGGTGCTCACTGGTACTGTGTTGAGGCCTGAAAATGTACAGAGCCCTGGCCAGGTAGTTCAGCTGGTTAGAGCGTTGTCCCAATATGCCAAGGTTGCAGGTTTGATCCCCATTCAGGGCACACAGAAGAATCAACGAATGAGTGCATCAATAAGTGGAACAACAAATCTACATTTCTCTTTTTCCCTTCCTCTCTCTCTCTCTAAAAAAACCCGTAATAATAATAAAAAATTGTTTAAAAAAAAGCAACCAATGAATGCACAAATAAGAACAAATCAATGTTTCTCTCCCTAAAATCAATAAATTAAAAAATGTATAGAGCTAGAAAATACTTCTTTTCTTTCTAAAGAAAATATATCGTGAGGTCAAACTGGTATTTTTCAATTCAAATTTAGGATTACATGATTTTATTAACTATTTTTATATGTGTAAGTCATTTTTCTTATACTAAACATCTTATTCCTAATTACAGTAGGTGACTTACTTATTTGCTATGTCCTACAATATAAACAATAATTACAGAATAACTACACTATAATATTAACAGTAATTGCTAAAAATAATGTAAGCTTTTTTTCATTTTGCTTTTAGACTATCTCCATCAGGGATGTGCAAATTACTTTAACATAAAATCACTTGAAATAATTCCAACCTGTGTGGTTATGCTACCCATTCAATACTAGTTAGATTTGTCTGTTGCATTTTGCTTCTAAATTTTAGGAATTGTTTAACAATTTTTAAATTTCATTATATCTTGTAACTATGTTAACATTTATGATTTCAAATTCAAGATACATTCAGAGAAATCTAGTTTCTATTTTGTTCCCTCCACTCTGTTCCTTCTGCCCAAAGAGGTAAATATTTTTAAAAAATTATTCCTCCTTTAAAAAATACAAATGAACATTATGCATTCATAGCAACACCCCTTCATTAGGCAATTAGTAGCATACAAAACATACATTTTCCACAATTTTTCACTTAATGTATCTTGAAGGTCACTCTAGCATCATGTAGAGCTTCCTCATTCCTTTTTTTGAACACTGTATAAGAGTCCGTTGTGTGGATGTACTCTAGTTTAGTCAATAAATCCCTATTATGGATATTTGGGTTGCTTCCTCAAACAATGCAATGAAAAGTGAAGAAGTGGAATTTCTGGGTCAGAGGTTAAATATGTATATAATTTTGGTAGATAGTGCCATTTCCCCCCCTTGGGGTTGTATCATTTTATACCTCCTCCAGCAATATATACAAGCATGTATTTCCCTCTAGCCCTGCCTGGAATAACTTGGCAAGCTTTTGGCTTCTTGCCAATCTGATGACTGGGGTTGCTGGTGGTGGGTGGCAGTACCTCTGTGTAGTTCTGATGTGGGCTTCTGTTATTATGGGTTAGTCTGAATATGTTTTAATAGGTCAAGGGCCGTTTACACTTATTTTTGTGTGAATTGTTGGCTCATATCACTTGCCCATTTTTCTTAATATAGCATTGTTGGTTTCTTCACTTTTTTACAAGCTCTTTATTTATTAGATAAATTAACCAGTTGTGATATTAATTGCAAACATATTTTCTCAGTTTGTCATGTGTAGTTTTATCCCCTTATGGCAATTTTTGTCATGTAATATTGTCAATTTTATCCATCTTTTCCCTGACTGCTCTTGGATTTTTAAAGTAATTATAGCAACCTAGCTAGCAATTTTCTTCCTTACGTTACAGAGAAATGTATCCATATTTTCTTCCAATGTTTGCATGGCTTCACATTTTTAAATATTTAATTCTTTGATCAAATTGGAACTTGTCCTGTTGTACCATGCAAAGAATAAATCTAATTTTATCTTTTTCCATCTTTATTATATCATTATATCAAAGGCCCACCCTTTCCCTGGTGATTTGAGATACTTAATTCACTAACCAACATGTTTCCTGTCACGAAAGTTGAAATTAAAACTAGTATTTACCTCCGAGGAATGCAGGAAAGGAAATTCCTGCATTGTGTGAGAGACCAGCCCAGAGGACTTTATTCTTCCCTTTCGGAGAGACTAAATTCTAATACTTGTATAGTTGAATAACTCACCTTTGGTTTACAGAAGTGAAAATGGGTATGATGCATACAATTTTTTCAAATAGTCTTACCCATTTTGTATTAGAGCGCTAGTATTCCGACACTATTACTCTGAATCACCAACTGCTTTAATTATCATGATCCAGTAACAATGAGTCAAATGTTTTTGTAATGAGATGTTTCTGAGGTCTAAAATTAAACAAATGACTAAACACATTTTACTCATGAATTTGTAAAATAAAGTTAAAATAACAAAATTAAATTAATGTTTATTACAATTCACCTCTCACCCTAAAGGATTTCTCTTAATAGCTTTTTAGTGGCACTTAAGTTTCAGATTGGGTAACAAATATTTACAGTGACTGGACAAGGAAAAGATCAGCAACACTCAGGAAACGGGCAGAGACTTTTGAGTTCTTCCAGGGAAGAGCGAAGAAAAGTGGATGGAGACCTGTTTCAATTCAGGCCTTGGGTAAGTTTTCTCCCTCTAATTGATTTAAAATGGAAAGTTTATTTATTTGTGGCTATTTCGAGGCACCTCTGCCACTCGGCTGAAATACTGTAATCAAAAGTAATGATAAAGGCGTGGGGAAGTAGGAGGAGGTGGACAAGGCGAAGGGAGAATGGGGACAGAAAGAGACCTTGCTGGGGATGACGGGCACACGACGCAGCCTGCAGATGTTTTACTGAGTTGTACCTGAAACCTGTGTGGTTTTGTGAACTAATGTCACGCCAGGAAATTCAAATACATAAACAAGCAAACAAACAAATAAAATACATTGAGATTTCCACAACTCCCTAAAAAAAAAAGTAATGATAAAAGCTTATATTAAAATGGTTGCTCTAGTTATAAGTTTTTTAATAGAAATTTATAGCTATAATAATTCCCATTTTGACCATTAGGTTGGTCTAGATAGTCATGAACCTTCAAGGCTGGAAATGTGAAAATTTTACTTATGCAAGTGAAGAAACTGCTTTGGCTCTCAATGAGAGTCCCTGTTAGCCTGAATCTTAGTCTCTGGGCAGGATGGGGCCTTGGAAGTACGGAAGAATATAAATTGCCTTCCTAAGCTGGGGGTTCACTTTTCAAAGCAGACTTTCTCTGTGCCTTTATTGTAGACCAGTTTCATATCCCTCAGTGAATATCAATTTATTTAACCTAAGGAGTGTAGGATTATTTTTTTTTTTACAGCACTTACAATACTTTCAAGTAAAAAAGAGCAAAAATGTAAAGAATACCACAAACTCTCCTCCCATTCAGAAGAGACAGTCAGCTGCCTTGGATGCGCGGGACCAGCCTGCTGGAAAAGGGGGAGCTGTACGGGGTGATCCCTGAGGTTATCTTCCACCCTGTGGCCCATGAGAAATACCACCAAAAGGTTCTGGGTAATAAGCTGGCAACCTTCACTAACGTGAAGTAATGCGATTTAAGAGACCCTGCTGAAAGGGCACGTGCTGTTTCAAATGGCAAGAACCGATGGATGAGGCTACCTGCCTCCTAAAGGCTGTCTGTGGAATAGGGATGGTCTTGAGCAAGTTTCCCCATAACCAAGTGCTTAGTCTCTTATTTACTTATTTAAAAAAATACCTATTTTTAAAAAGCTTACTTTCTCTTCTCTCTAGAAGATTCTCAAAATACACTGCTGCAAAAGATGGTATATTGTCCGGTTGCTCTCTCAGAATCTCACGTGTCAGCCCTTCAAGAAGATTCCCAAATCCTTGTGGAATTCGGTAGTGGGTGTTGGAGAATGGAATCGACATCTCCTTGGAAGGAACTGTCTACTGTACCTAGAGATTTATTAAAGAGTACTGTCTTTAAATTTTTCTGATTGTATTTATATAATCACAACTGTGGCAACACATTCTGAGTACCGAATTTCCTGAACTTAAATATTTTTTTCCCCCCAACACAACCCCAGTCCATCCACTGGTGCTGAAGAGTTTTGAATTCTCCATTATTAATTAGAATATTACAGCTACAGGTCTATGTAATAGGTCGTCATTCTTTTGATTACAAAAATCACAGATTTTTCACTATAACATTAGTACTTTTTCTTTCTATCCCAATGTCTTTCTGTATTTAAAAGGTGAGGGTTATTTTTGCTATATCATGGGGATTTAGCGAGAATTTTAAGTCAGAACTGGTCCTGGTTCCAGAAATTACTCTAATTTGTAATTTCACACTTTTGAGGCATGACTTACAACGTTCTGAAACACCTATACATTCTGGAAGGGGCAGCAGGGGCGGTAGGACGGCGGGGCGGCAGTTCTTATTTTGCAAATCCCAGCCTCTAAAGTCCTGGGGTTCTTACTTTACCGGTTTTGTCTTGACTAGGTCTTGTTTTCCTATCTTGGAATCCACGGGCTCGATAAAAACGAGCTGCCGGGCAGCGGGCTGGGCCGTCGGGTTTATAAAACACACTAGGCACCCCGGCCTGTTGTGAGACTCGACGCCGAGTAAGGGGACTAGATGGTTTCATGAGGTCTAATCTATGGAGGCTATTTTTCTTTTCATTTTTCAGGGGCACAGGAGATGAGCTATTAAGTCCTTTTCGGATTGTGAAAAGGACTGGTAAGACCCTGATCGGATCTGAGGAGCGGAGAGCGGCGGGAGGGGGCGGGACGTGGAGGAACGCGGAGTTCAGAGCGGAGTGCCTCGGCCCCTCGTCTGCCCCAGGGTTCCCTGAATGTGTCGGGGACTCTGGGAAAATTACGAGAGGCGAAGGGAAAAGACGAGGTCTCGGTTTCGGACAGGAAGTGGGGTCAATCGCCTCACCTCTTGGTTCTCTCAGAGCTGGTGCCGATGGTTCTAGCTGTTTTTTCCCGTTGCTGAGGAACCGTTTATTGACTCAACTACGGCGGCCGAGAAGGGTAGAGGCACTGCCCTGCCGGCGGCCGCAGACCGCTCAGCGGACAGCACTGCCCGGAAGGGTGGGGCCAAGCCTGCCCCGCCCCACGCCCCGCCCCCCACAAGCCCCCGCCCTGCCTTGGCTCCGCCTCCGCGCCTGGAGGTCGGCGCCTGGAGGTCGGCGCCCGGAGGCGGTCTTAGCAAACATGATCGCGCCCCGGTTTGTGGTGGGAATGCTGTTGCCCTTAATCCTGCGGGCTTGCGCCAGGGCAGGTGAGGCGGCCAGGCTCGACCCGACCCCGCCCTTCAGCTTGCGCGGGTCCTGCCTGCGGCATGCTCGGACGACCCCCAACCCCCGCAGCCCAGACCTGGGTGCTGCTTCTCTTGGGCTAGAGCTCCCTCTCTCCCTTCCGCTTCCTCCCTCCAGTCCGCGACCGTTAGGATGCAGTGCGTTGGGCAGGTGCAGAGTTGGGTTTATCGGAGTGAGGAGGCCCGCGGGGTCTTTGAGTCACTGCTGTGGAGCTTTAAGAGGAGGGTCAGAGCCAGTTAGGTAATATTTGGAAACAGGTGCCTGAATCATCCAAAACATTTCAGTGCTGCCCCCTCAGTGGTACCCTGGGGGAGGGTTTGCTTCAGGCAAGGAATTAAATCTTACTAGTTTAATTGGGCTAAGAAGCACAACCCCCTCACTAGCTCAAAATATTTCAGGCTCAACTTGGGTTTCTGGTGCAGCTTACGGATATTGGTGGTGGGATAATACTGCATAGCCTTGGGGAGGAGGGTGACTCACTGACTGTTGTCCAAGTCAGCTCCTGTCATTTGACTACACAAGGCTGGACACTGGGTCACAGCCATGGAAAAACCAGAAGCTCTGTCTGCTCATGCAGAGTTAAAGTGATAACACTGGACCTAGTTTCTCCTTCAACACTCAAATAGTGGACCACAAAGATCCCTGCCAAGAAATGAAAGTTGAGGTGGGAAGACGGTTGGAGTGCGGAAAAATGCCGGCTGCTGTGCGTAAGAATCCAATGAGTACCCAAACTGAGACAAACTGCAGCCCATAGGTGGTTTTTCTGGGTTTAACCAGAGTGTAAACTAATCTTTTTCTCTCTCTCACCCTTACACGGTGACAGGAGTCCTGCATAAGAGGTGAGGAGAAGATAAAGAGAAGAGCAGGGCCATTATTTTATTAATTTTCTCTGTTAGAGGCTGATTTGATATCAGTATTTGGCAGGCACTGTGCTGAGCACCCTGCAGAGACTAAGTTTCTGGCCAAAGAAAGTTAATATCTTAATAGCCATGGGTAGAATGTAAGCCCCCTGCTGGCAAGGATGTTGTGTTTTTGTTTTTGTTTTCCCCCCAGTGTCTAACATGGCGCCTGGCACATAGTAGGCATCAATAAATACTTGAGTTAATTAATAAATATGCAAGTTATTTTTAAAAATTACATAATCTACTTGGATCGCAGCCTTTTGATCAGTAAATGACATGATTATATTGCAGGGGGTGAAAGATTGTTTCTACCTCTAAAATTCTCTGATTCAGAACGGAGCCATGCATGGAGTTTCAGTAAATGTATGGTGGAGAAGACAGACTGACTTGGGAGGGTGCTTCTCCCAGCCTCTGTGACAGTGGCTGCAGACAACTAGAGCCCTCCATTTGCCACCGGCTTGTATGCCAGTGGCGGCCAGATTTCCTCACTCCATTCCCTCTTTAGGCCTTTGGTTTTCAGTTTTGTTCCATAAGAAGCACCTACCCCAGGCAAAGCCCTCCCACACACATGCTTTTCCCCTTCCCTCCAGCAGGCTGCCAAGGTGCTTATGCAATTCCCCCTAGTGTGATATTAATCTCTTAGAGCATTTTGCTCCTGGCAGCCATGCATCTCCAGCCCAGCGGGCCTTCTGGATGAACTTTGTCACGTAGGTTTCACGATGGAACTAACTCCTAAGAGAGAGCTGAGGCTGTTTAGGGATTGGGCTGTTTTTTGAAGTGCAGGACAAATAGGCCACTGAGTCTGTGTAGGAGGCCCCATTAGCTGTGTGCTCGGGAAAGTATAGCCTAAGGGGCCGTCATCATTTGTAGCTTCTAGGGAAGAAAATGTCAACCTTGTTAGGTCTGGTTCTCTTTCCTGCCTATCATTTTTAAAAATTTTAATTGCATTAATTATTTTCTTCTAGGATTTTTTTGGTCTGTTTTGTTTAGACAAAGATGTAACTTAAGGTTTTTTTCCCTTTTAAGTTTTGATGAGCAACTCATAGATAATTTGGATAGATGACTTATTAATAAAATACTTTGATATAGGCTGGATGTTAAAAATAGGAATGATCTTGTTAAAATGAGTTCTTATTCAGTCTTGTTAGTGACTCTAGAATAGAATTCACAGTTTTGAGTGCTCTTCCTCTAGTTCTTTGTGCATAATTTAGCTTGTGAAATGGGTAAAATGGTGACAAAAGACCTTTGTTCAGACAGGTTGACTTTCTAACTTGCGCTGACCTTATTTTTTGCATCTTGATTTATCTGAATTTACCTTAGAAGGAAGCGGACCTGTCACAGATATTCATATGTGCTTATGCAGAATTTTCAGTGGGTTGTCAAAAAACCACAATAGGGGGAATTATTTAAGGGAAATGCACACTAGTAGGGTGGAAAGGGGGGAAAAGACTCAAGAGGGCTGTGTTGGAGAGAGGCAGGCTTCTTAATTCCCAGTTACTCGGGAGTGGGAGTGGTAAAGGAAAGAAGGGGAAGGAAGTGGTTTATTTCTCTCATAAACACCATCTGTAGGGTGCATAAAGGAGCATTTTAGTGATTTGGGAGGAGAGAGTGAAGCGTTAGGGCCAAACCTGACAGCCAAGGCAGACCGAGGGCTCTGAAGGGGAGGAGGTCTGGTTCATTGGCTGCCCTAGGCTCTCGGGCTTTCCCTTACTGGCCTTGTACTGTGATGTGTATTGTTGGAAACTTCTTGTTTTGTTGCTTCCCTAATTAGAAGAAGTGAGATCTGGTTTTAGAAGATTAAAAGTAACGAGTATATTCAAATTCTCTTGTATAAAGACAGTATGTTCCCTGCTCGTTAACCAGATTCAATCAGTGGTGAATCTTCCTAGTGATGCTCTTCTGTTTGCTGAATTTCTAGCTGCTGATTTTCGATTTGCTTCGTACATCCATAATTACATGGTGCTACAGAAGGAGCCTGCAGGGGCAGTGATTTGGGGCTATGGCATATCTGGAGCCACAGTGACAGTGACTCTTTGTCAAGATCAGGAAATCATCATGAAGAAAGTGACTCCTGTCAAAGGTAAGGCAGCCCCCATTTTCTGTTCAGCTTTTGTCATCTTCTGCCACCTGCTGGATTATCTGAAAACGAAAGCTTCCTCTCGTGCTCAGGTTACCCATCCATCCGTCCATCCATCCGTAAAAGTTGAGCATTTACATGTGCTAGGCACTGAGGATACAAAGAAAACTAAGTCAAACTGCCTGTTCTCAAGGAGCTCATAGAATAATGGGAATGGACACCAAGTTGTATAGTGTGATAACTGCTATGATGAAGGTGTATATGGCGTGTTGTGGGACACAGAAGAGCAGTATCCACCTCAGGTTGGATGGTAAGGGAAGGTTTGCACAGAAGGCAGCATTTGAACTGAATCACACATAAAGGAGAGGCAGAACAGAGGAGCAGGTACAAACCTAGGCTCTGGAATTCACTGTCTGGGTTCAGGTCCTGACTCTGTTACTTAATGGCTATATAACCTTAGACATGTTATTTAACATCTGTGTCACAATTTACTTATTTATAAAGTGAGATAATAGTATTTGGGATTATGCGGGTTTTAAATGAATTAACACCTATAAAGTACTTAGAACAGCACCTGGCACACAGTAAGTACTGAATAAATGTTGGCTCTTGTTATTGTTATTATTATTATTTCGGTTAGTCATTCAAATATTTATTGTCTACTATGTGCCAGACAGTGTGTTAGGTTCTGGTGATATAGTAATGAGCAAAATAGATGTGGCTTTTGCCTAATGAAGCTAATAGGTTAGGCAAGGAGACAAAAATAATAACCAATTGCCGTTAAGTGTGGTGAGTGCCACAGTGGGGAAGTACAAGGCGCGGTGGGAGTGCTTAGTAGGGATAATTCGCTTAGCCTTAGGTTTCCCTTGAAGGATGGGTAGGGCAAACCAGGTAGAGGGAATAGTCTGGGCAAAGGCAAGAAGGCAGCAGTGAGCTTGGGTCACTGGGAGAAAGGGCAAGTCGGGGGGTTTGTCTGGAACACCAGGGTGCATGACCGGTGGAGGATGACAGGAGCCACGGGGTTGGAGATGGAGGAGCTCGTTTGTCATGGTTAAGGAGTAAGTACTCTCTTCTGAATGGATGAACTTTAAGCACAAAATAACACAGTCAGATTTGTATTTTAGATTACTCCGGCAGCGCTGTGGAAGAGTGATTGGAGATGGGTCAGACCAGGTGTGCCCGGACCTGTTAGCAGGCTATTCTGACACTCAGGCAATAGACAGCAAAGGCTTGACCCATGGTAGTTGCTGTGAGGATGGCCAGGAAGGTCAGAATTAGCAGCCTGACCAAGGAGCCTCTGTCTAAAAGAGATAAAGCTGGTGGTGATGGGGGGGGATCTATTTGTCAGGCTTTAGTTTGTATAGATCCATAAGCCTCCTTCATTGGGCATCTTGCTCTGTCCTACCCATGAAGCAAACTGAATAAAGTGTTATTTGGAATAAAGAAGGGCAGAAAAGAAAATGTTTCTCACAAGGAGACACTACAGGGTATGTTTAAGGGTTGACTTCTATTTAAATGGCCATGAGGACTCTGGGAATTTTCACCTAGACTACCTCAGTTCACTACTCTGTTTCTCTCTGTTAACATTTAACTTATTACTTAAAATCCCCTAGGTGCCCACAACAAAGTGGAATTTAACAACATAAAGGTTTTCTCCGGGAGAGCGATCCTTAAGCACTGGGAAAATGAAAACCTGACGGATGGTTGGGCACATGGTCAGGGACTGGGCCTCTCCGTAGTCAGGTGACACAGGGTGATTCAGACACAGCGAATACAGTCGGGGAGAACAGCATGTGACCTCTCGCTCAGACACACACAGGGATGCTTATGAAGATGGTAAAATGAGGGTGTGTCTGCCCGAATTTGTCATCATGATTGACATAAACGGATAAAATTCACTCTAACATAGAGAATAAAAAGTTCCTGGTTGCGGTGTTAGCATGCACACTCGTTTTCTATGCTACATCATAAATTACCACAAACTTATGTGCTTAAAACAACACACTTCTACTGTCTCACAGTTTCTGCAGACCTGAAGTCCAGCCATTGTGTAGCGGGGTGCTCTTCTCAGAGTCTCCCAGGCTGAAATGCAAGCATCAGCCGAGCTGTGTCCTCACCCAGAGGCTCAGCTGCCGGCAGGCTCACTTCCCAGTGAGGTTTTATCCGGGAGAGCGATCCTTAAGCCCTGGGAAAATGAAAACTTCCCGCAGGACTCACGGCTGCATCTTGGCTGCTTCCCGCCTCTGACCTCCAGATACTGTTTTGAAGGGCTCACCATAGTAAGTCAGGCCCACCCAGGATACTCTCGCGTTTTATTAACTTCATGTCAACTATTAAGAACTTCAATCACATCTGCAAAACCCCTTTATCTTTTCCATGTAACAGCCTAATCATGAGAATGGCACCTCATCCCCTTTGCCATTTTCGTTCATTAGAAGCAAATCACAGATTCTGCCTGCACTTGAGGGGGAGGCGATTATGCCAGGGTGTGACTAGCAGGGGTCACCTGAGGGTGTGTCTGTCATGGCATGCTTCAGTTTAAGTAACTTGCATAAACAGTTGTCTTGACAGGTAAGCACTTACACGTTTTTAAAAACATTTATATTTGGTGGTGCTGGAGGTGGACTCTGTACAGAATAAGTGCAGGTTGGAAAGGGACAGTTTGGCCTGTAAAGCTTTCTTTACCGCCCAGTCACTTCCACAGGTCACTGAGCCCATTGGCAGCGGGTGAATGCCAGGGTTCTGCGTGGGAGGCGAGCAGAGCGGTTTCTTCCAGCTCTAGGTTTTTCTTCGTGGGAAGGGAAAGGTTGTGGATAATTTTCCCTTTTCTGTTCTTGGCGTCTGAGAGTTGGCACAACGACCTGAAAAATAATTAACATCTGATGTGAATAGCAAAAAGAAAAAAGAAAGCACTTTATGACTAATTGTCTCTAGACAAAATCAAATTATTTTGATTTTTTTTCCCTTTGATTGTTTGTTCCCATTTTTAGATAGGGGTTGGTGAGGGAGATGTAGAGGAAATGGAGATAGTGTGTTCTTTACCTATATCTCTGGCTGGAATGTGAAGAGAAGAGGAACAGTAAACAGACCACCAGATATGCTAACTGTCAGACAGAAGGGCTCAAAGCCCCAGTCAGTTTGCACGGCTTTCTTGTCTGCACAGCCCAGGGCGGGGGTCTGTGTGTCTTTTACAAGATAGAGTTCCTGGTACACTAGCTTCATCCAGGAATGAAGGGAATGAATCTTCCTAGATGGAAGAAGAAAGAATGTGAGGAAGCAGAGACTTGAATGTGATGGAAATCTACAGAAATCTGGCCTGGACTGGGGACAGACATTACAAGGTAGCAAGTGATTAGGGCCCAGAAGAAGGAACCAGAGCTACTGTTGCTCAGAAAGCCCACCGGGATCAGCAGGAGGCCAGCTGGATGGTGAACTTCAAATTCTTTGTGGTCAGTGACTCAGTTTTATTATTTGGACTCAATCTATTGGACTTGGTGGGTCAACACAGTTTCTAAAATTATAACTGGACCTCATCACCCTGTGGCGACCTCCACTTTAGTCCTAAACGGACAGGTCAAGCACCAGTCAATTCTTGTGAAACGCGATGGCTTCTGCCTTTATAATCCCACCCTTGCCTTCGATCGAGGAAACAGTCTTCACAGCGCTGCTCTCCTTTGATTATACTTAGATAGGGATAATCCCCATTGTTTTAAGTGGATTGTTTCTGAGTAACTTTGACCATTAGTAACCTATCTGTGGTCAATCTGATTTCCCCTGCCTTGCCTGGCAGTTAACTTCTTCCTTAACACTCATATCTGTATCAGAGATTATTCTTCTATCAAGTGGAAGCAGGGAAAAAAGCTAGAAACTGTAGCTTGAGGACTAGAACGGAAGGTTGTTCCAGGTCTTCAAGCGAGGTGAGAGGCTTCCTCCGAACAGCCCTTGGGAATAAGGCTCTGGCCTTGCTGTGCAGTTCTCCCCACTCCTTAGAGAAGGCTCACCCTCCTGCGTGGTACGATGGTGTTGTCATGCTTGGCCCAAATGTCCCCTTTCCCTTATTTGTCTTTTTATTGGTGAGCAGCACCACTTTCTCTGGTGAAGGCAGTTTTCTTGACCAGCCATATTGCCTGGATTGAGGTGCAGTGTACACGCCGATTAACAGCAGTGACAAGGAATGGATTGGATAGCCGTAGAAGGCTAAAAAATAGCCCTGTGTTTGCTTTTCTAGGGATTGAACTCATCGTTCTAAGTGAGTAATGTTGGTGGCAGAAGGACAGAGCTCCAGTAAGATCTGTCAGTGCAAGAAGCCTGAAAAGACCTTGGCAAGACTGCAGTTGGGACAGATTGGAGTGTCTGCCCGCTCGGAACTGTGAGCCTCACGGACACATGGAGCGCACGCACCTGTGCAACATAACTTGTCCTGGCTGCCCACTGCTTCCAAAACAGCGATTTTTCTGCTTTAGGTGAACTACGCATTTACTATGTTGATGTCTGGCTATCAGTGGTATAAAAACTGTAGCAGACATTTAGTCCTGGGCCTAGTTAACCTCTTGGGGCAGGGAGAAGCAAACTGAGTCAGTTGTGCTTTTTAGAGGAGCAAACATGCGCCCTGTCACTGATGCCCTGGTGGTTTTGGATGTTCCCCCACGACCGAGCAGTCCTTTATGACTGAAGCGTTTACTAATCTCCTGTCATGCGTCCAAACTTCGCCTGCTTCTGCTTAGCCCTTGCTGACTTCAAAGAGCGGAGTACACTGTCTAGCACAGAGTAGTCACTTGGGTAGTATTTTTATAATTATTATTTTTTTATAGGCTGGTATGATAACTTTGGGATGCTTCATTTCCATTCTTTACCATTCTTTTCCTTTGAATTTACATTGATCTGATGGGCACAAATTATAAATCAGTTCCTACTCTTCTACATTATTCCAAGAATATTTCTTTTTAAATAATTATTTCTCTTTTATCTATTTTCTCACTCTCACTTTTTCAACTCCAACGGCCTCGCTGATGGTCTAGTGGTTGGGATTCGGCACTGTTAACTCTGTTCATGTGGCGTGGTTCTCCTGGGCATAATTTTGCCACTTTGAAGACATGTTTCTTAAGTTTCTGAATGTGATGTTTCCACGGGTGGTGGTATGAGTGGGTGAGAGGTAGGAAGGTGGTAGGGAGGTGGTTCCTAAGGAATATGCTGTGAATTTCTGAAATAGGGTCTTGGGTAGCTTTTTCATCTCTTTAATTTGAGTATGAAAACTTAAGTCTGGTAAATAATTCTGTGAGAACAATTAATTGGGCAGATCTAAATACCTTCTGCACAGAGATACTCATTTATGTCTCCCCCTACTTCTATATGTGACTGTTTCTCCACTCACCCGTTTACCTGTTGACAGGAGAACCCAGAACTACTGCTAGTATTAATTCTTGGTAGTAATGTGGGCAAGAGGGGGGCAGAGGTTGATGGCAAAGATGATACCATCAGGCACAGGAAAGTTTCAGATTACAACTGATTTTTTCTAACATGTGCTCACATATGGGGTGCTGTGTAAATCTATTAGATTATGATTATGTTAATATTGACAGTTGGATAGTATAAGAACTTCAATTTTGTTTTTATTAAAAGCCCTTGAATTTTAGTTTCTCTGTATTTTTTTTTTTTTTGTCTCTCCTCACTTAGGATTATAACTGGCTAATTTATTCCTCTTGTGAACACCTCAGTTAAAAGTAAGAGGGGATTGGCATTGGCATAGGTTAAGGATAGAAGTGCCACTGCTGTTGTTATTTCTACTTGCTTGTCTGAAATTTGGGCAGTTTTTATAACTTTGAATTCAGTCAATCACTGAAGCTGGGAAAGGCTACACAGGAGTGATGCCCAACAGGATAGGGCTTTCATTTCATTTTCCTTAACTGATTGATTAGCTCCTTGGGGCCCTGTTGTTATTTCAGCACACTCTGACACCTGGTTGGTGGTCCTGGATCCTTTGAAGCCTGGTGGCCCTTATGAAGTCGTGGCACAGCAGACTTTGGGGAGAAGGAACTTAACCCTCCGAGTTCATGATGTCTTATTTGGAGACGTCTGGCTTTGCAGCGGGCAAAGTAACATGCAGATGACGGTCTCACAGGTAATTTGCAGAGTCTCAGTGATAATAAGTAATGCTGATGTTGAAGAAAAAGGAGGAGGAAGGGGAGAGGAGGAGAAAGGAATAGAAACCTTTTTTTTACCATGTGCCAAGATCAGTTCTAAGTACTTTGCACGTTTGATTTAATGACTTTATGAGGTAAGTACTCTATTCTCATCTCACAGACTAGGACACTGGGCCACTTAGGTTAAATGACCTGCTTTGGGTCGCAGCTAATAGGGGGTCCAGGACACGAAGCAGTAATGCGACTCCAGAGCCTACTTCTTCGTCAGGGCAGCTGTGTGGTTAGTGTGCCCGGCGTGCTTTGCCCACCTTCCCAGGCTAAAGGCGGAAGCTAGAGGGTATCCGACGGCAATGGAGATTTCATAACAAACTGAAGACAAAGTAGCTTACTCTTCTTTTTGATTGGTCTTAGAAGATGATCTTCTGAAGAGAACCCAGGGAATCAAAACAGTTCGATTTTGTTTTAATGCTGAGCAGCTAATATACTATTATGTCTTTTGTTGTCATAGAGATTGAAAAATTAAGACTGAGTGTTGGCTTTGCCATTTACTAGGGTATGGCTTAAAGAGGAAATCACTTGACACTTTTGAGACTTTGTTTTTAAAACATACTTTTAAAAATGTACTTAAATGAATATAACCTACTTATCCTTTTAATGGTTAAGTGCACAATTCAGTAGCATTAAATATACAGGGTAAGGCAAAAATAGGTTTACAGTTGTTCGTGCAGAAAATAATATGATAATTAATAACTAATACAAGAATAAACTCTGTGTTTCGTGTATGCACCTGTAAACCTACTGTATTCACAGTGCTGTGTGTACCCATTACCCCATCTGTACTCAAAACTTCATCATCCTCAGCATAAACTTGGTACGGGTTAAGCAGGAATTCCCCCTTTCTGCTCCTCCAGCCCTGGTAACCTCTGTTTCTGCTTCCTGTCAGTGACTTTGACGATCTGAGTTCCCTCGTGTCATGGGATCATATAATACTTGACCTTCTATATCTGGCTCATTAAGTATAATGTTTTCAAGGTCCCTCCATGTTGTAGCGTTTATCAAAATATTACCTCCTTTTATGGTCGAGCTGTGTTCTACTGTATGTGTCACATTTTGCCTGTCCATCCCTCTGTTGATGGACACCTGGGTTGTTTCCACCTGTTGGCTATTGCGAATAATGCTGCTGTGAACACTGGTGTGCAGATATCTGTTCCGGTCCCTGCTTTCAATTCTTTAGATACATACTTATGATTGGAGCTGCCGGGTCATCTGTTAGTTCCATGTTTAACTTTTGAGAAACCAGCAAAGCATTTCCCACAGGGGTTGTGCCGTTTTACTCAGATTTCTTTTGGGGATCAACTCTACTTTCTAATTAAACACAAAACCGGTCTAGAATAAAGAGAGTGGATTTCTGGTTAGGGTGAGATGGGGTTAGTGCTTTGGGCTTCAATTGTCTTTGCTTCATTTGTTTGGTGGCAGTTATCTGATTTAAAAATAAAAGTAAAGAAGACCATTGTTCTTTCACTTAAAATAGGATCAGGGCTGGACAGTGTAATAACAAAGTCACAGATATATTTAAACTATATCAGCTTAAAATATTGCTGAAAGACTAGTAAATATTTTTTACTCAGTATCAGCACTCCAGAAAAATTAGCGTGAGTTATTTGGTACATTTGAAATTGAGATTGTTTGTTTGTTTGTCTGTATTTTCTGATTTTTTTAATAAACACGAAATAAGTAACTAATTTTTTAAAAAAGTTTAAAAATAAATTGGTATTGACTTAATCTCTGAAATATCTATTGAAGGCTCAGTTTATAGTAGAGTCACATTTCTTACATAAGAATCTTAGGGATAAATAATTTGCATTTTTGACGGGCATTAATATGGTCTGTATACTTTTTTAAATAGATTAAGAACCTGAAGAGATTATTGTCTTCCCTAGCTCTTTCTCTAACACTTAGTTTCTTCTCAAGTTGATTTTTTATTTTCCTGCCTATCTTTTATTATCTACTTCTCTGTCTTGGAGAAATATTTAAATTTGAGATTTGAAAATCTCTACAACTAGACTATGTTCTCAATTAATTTCTTTTTTAAAAAATTATAAAATTGAGTCCTTTCACATACTTTCTGATTTCTTATTTTGTTTCTATTGCTTCTACACCCACATTTTTTAAAACTAATTACTAAATAATGCTACTAAGAAGATTCTACGCTAGACCTATCTACCTCATTTCATCATTAGTTTTCTAATTCAAAATCTAAATTCTTGCATTTATGACTTCTTAACCAATATTTTATTTCTTCTTGCTTCCTGCCATACTTAAATATATGGAAACCTTTCGAATGTAAGTGTTTATTAAAATGAACTTTAACTGGACTCCCTTTCAACATAAGTGAATGGAAGCAAAGTTGGTTTTAGCTCTTGATAGAAAGCATGGCTTTGTATAGAAGTGACATTACGGTTAACTCACTAATGAAAACAGTACTTTCCTAATGCTTTAATTGCAGTTCTCTGTTTGCAAAGAAAGGCATGGACCAGATCTGTTTTTATTTATACAGTCAGGTTCTCAATAGCAGCTTTTGCCAAGGGATCTGATCCCATTTTCTGTTGAGCTAAATCAGCTTTTGATTGTTAAGAGTGAACACATTCTCTCTGCCTAGAATTTGCTCTTAGCATCTTCTGTATTAGATGAAGGCTACAAACTCTGAGATATAGGAAAATGGAAAAAAGATTCCATCTGACACGGCCAAGTGTTAATTTTTTATTTTTTGGTTTTAAATCATGTACTTAGTTTGTATGACAGCAGTTTCGGTGCTGACAATACCAAAGGCCAAGTTTTCTAGTCTCTTAACGCTCTGTAGAACTTTATTTTTGATCAAAAGGATATTGTACGTGACTTCTCCATTATTCCCTTTGCTCATTTTCCCCAAAACTCCCCGCTCCTACCACACACACAAGGGTGTCTGTCTCTTTCTTTTTCCTTCCCTTCCTCCATGTGACTTTTCTGAGGAGGCAATATTTCCACTATAACCTACCACTCTTTGCATTCAAATGAAGGAAATGGCAGATTGTATGCCCATCTTGTTGTTAGGGTAAAGTGGAATTTTTAAGTTGAGTGTTATTTATAACACTGAGTGAGATGTTTATAAATGGAGAAAAGTCTAAATGTTCATCTGTCGCCTCCTCAGACAGGGTAGGTCTTAAGACTTGGATATTTCTAGTGAAGCTCAGAAGAAGATGGCCAATGTTAGACTGGAAACCCACTTTTCAATATCTTGGCAATCCTCACATTCCTGCTTTACAAGTGGAGAAATTAAATCCAGAAGAGAAGGTTTAATAGCACATGACAGTAAAAGAGTCACAGAAGTAATGATGGATAGCTTACTTATAGTTATTCTCCCAACTTTAAAACTGCCGTAGTAACCCTGGCAGGGGTGGCGCAGAGGACCGAGTGCCGGCCTGCGATCCGGAGGGTCACAGGCGTGATCCCCAGTCAGGGCGCGTGCCTGGGTTGCCGCCGCGTCCCTACTTGGGGGCGTGAGAGAGGCAACCAACTGAGGTGTCTCTGGCACAGGGATATTTCTCCTCCTTTCTCCATCCCTTCCCCTTCTCTAAAAATAAATAAATAAAATCTTAAAAAAAAATAAATAAAACTGCTATTTTATACTGTAGTAGAAGGCGAAATACAGAATGCAAGCGCATTCTCTCTCTCCCTCCCTCTCTCTCTCTCTCTCTCTCTCACACACACACACACACACACACCCCCCACCCCACGGCCTTGCTCCCTGTGCAGACCCCATGCCAAGGTTCTCTGAGGAAATAGATTCTTGATGTTTCTTCATTAATTCAAGAATGCGGTGTAAAGGTTACAAATTGAACACCCGTGAGCAGCTGCTTTGATGGTGAACTGCCCGTCCCTAGAGAGGCAGTGTTGCTCCCTCTCAGCCCAGCAGCCTTAATGACTTCAAATACCTTGGTGTTCATTTACATCCTCATTTAAATACTTGGTGGAAAAATAATTACACTGAGGTGTTTGATGAGATGAAATTTGATCTCAGCAGATGGAGTAAGGCTTCCCCTTTCATCAGCAGGGAAACCATGTGTCATTTAAATGAAAATCTTCCTGAAATCTCTTTATTCCTAAGTTTGTTGCCGATATCCCTAAGGAAATGGCATCCATCACAAAGGCTTGGTGATAGTGGGAAAGGAGACCAATTTCAGAAGTAATTGTCATCAGGTACAGCAAGAATTTTCTCCCACCCCCATTTTTGTTCTGGCTTTCTGTGGCTTTCAAGTTGGCTTGAAATAATACACAAATGGGAGTTTGAAAATGGAAGTTTCTCAGCCAATGGTTTAGATCCAGTTCTGTGTGCGGGTAGCAACGTAGGAGAGTGCCAGCCAGCCCGACTTTGTTGGCCTTGCAGTACTCTACAGTGTTAGCAGCAGGTCTAAAAGACAACTAGCATGTTCACCATGCTGCCTCCCCAAGCTGGCATCGCAGGCGATGAGGCACTCGAGCTCCCAGTCAGTGCGGAAGCTCGCGTGGGTGGAGAGAAGGGAAGCAGTTCCATCCACTGTTTCCATGGGAGCAACAGACGATGCTTAGCACTTAGTGAAGAGCTGAATTTCAGGAGAAGTGACTCTTTACAGGTGCTTGCTGTCGAAAAAGAAATTTCCCTGCCAGGACGTACTGTGAGTGCATTAGCCTGCCCTGACTCTTTTAATGTTTATTTTACATTAAATCTGCCAGGCAAGATCCTGAACAAACAGATCTGGTTTTCCTATGGAATTTTCCCGAGATTGTATGTAATCTGTGTCCTTATAGTGGGGAGACCAGTAACCCTAACAAGCTAGAGCTGCTGCTACCCAGGGAGCATTTCAGGCTGTGGCTTCCATGGTGACGGAAAGAGCCATTTGCGTCTGGCCATCTTATTGACCACAGCAGGCTCAGCGGCAAGTCAAGAGGCGATTCAGGGGGCAGCAGATTTCAGTGAACTGCTCTGTGGGGGCAGTCTGGCAGCTCCATCATTTCTCCTACAGTGTGAGCCCGCGGGCCAGCTGCATTCTCTGTGGTGGGCGGGAGGGAAGGCGAGCCAGCTGCGCACTCCGCGGCCAGCGGCCAGCGGCAGGTGCCCAGCCTCCTGGGCTTCTTGCTGTGGCAGTCCCGCCTCAGCTGGAGCGCTTGTTCCCTGAGGCCTGCGATGGCTGGGCTTCCTGACATTCCTGTTAGCCTTTTGTTTTGGGAAAACCAGACCACTCCACTCCGGGAGATAGACACAAGAAAAGAAAGAGCAGCCACGCAAATTAAGCAAAATAATGTACTTGTGTTACATTCTTTTTAAAATAAAAAAGTAACTAAAAAAATCAGGATTAAAGGAAGTAGCACTTATGTGTAAACTCATAGAGAGATGATGCCCAGTCTGATCGACGATGAATCAACATAGTGCAGGCCACACTCATTCTTGCCCAGAAAATCTCCAAGTCCTTCCTGTTCCACTCTCGGCAGTGGGTGAGGGTTTCTGAAGTGGCTTAGGGAAAAGGGACGTGCCTTTGTATGAACCCTTTTCTTTGTTTAGTTTCTTGGAACTGTTCTCGGCGGTCACCCTGAATGCTGCTTTTCAAATTGCCATGTCTCCCTGGCTTTTCTTTGGTAATTTGCTGAGCCCCAGATGAGAACATAAGCATTTTGAGACTGATTTCAGTATGTTTCAGTAGTTCAACAGTCATTTCTCAGGAGTATTTCTTTTGAATACACCTCTCTCATGTGGTATGGATTAATCAAATCTACCTCCCCATGGTCTTATTGGCTCCATTGAAAAAAAAAAATTAATGCCATGGCTTTATGTTATCAGATACTTTTTCTGACTAGAAATATATTTGTGTTTCAAGATATCACGTGGTCTAACTGACGGTTGTTCTTCTTCAGCCTAAAGCGCACCATGCTCCTCTCATCTAATACACACTTGCTCCTTGAGATCTCAGCTTTTATTGCAGGCCTGCTTCTTTGGGGACACGGTTCTTCATGCTGTCTTTTGGTCAAAATGGATCAAGGCGACCCACACCAGCCCCTCCTTGCTTCTGGTTATTCATTTGGTCTTGGTATATGGAAGGCTCAGAAGGTGCCCAGAGAGCTGTATTGACATAACAAACATCCAAACCTGTAGAGAATTTTGAGTTCACTTGAGGCAAACTCCCAACAATTGCCGGGAAGCAAAATCTCAATGGATTGAGAAATGCGCCGGAGCATGGTAGTTGTGCAGCTTGTTGTATACATTAGAATCGAAGGGGGAGATGTAAGGAGGGTTACATGAAATCCTCTGTTGGTGGTAGATTGAGGAGGTGGGAGAAAGCAAAGCAGGGAAATACCTGGAATTGGGTAAAAAGTAAAAGGAAGAGACACATACTTTGACATTGGTGGGGAGAGGTAAAGTTATAGCGCATGGAGATGGTATGTGGGGAACAGGGTACGGGGCCCCGTGGTCTCATGCCCTGGTGCGTAGGTGTGCCGTAAGGGGTCTAGGGATGGAGATACTCTGACATTTCAAAAGTCTGTTATCTTTGATGCAAAAAGACAACAGACAGGCTCACTTAGGTAAAGATTGACCTTTGTCAAGGAAGCTACAGGCCTAGGACCGGACTTCCCTTCATGACTCGCTTTTAGTTAGGAATTTTTATGTTCGGGCCATCCTATGTGGTTACTTTCTGCCCTGAGTTTGCAGGTCCACCTTGTGGGCCTCCCCTGAGCTTGTCAGGTTTAGTATGTGGCCCCTTTCCCGTCCACATTTGTAGCATTTAAGAGGCAGTGGGATAGTTGACCCCCTACTAAATAGGTTGGTATAAGAAGTGACACCCCTATTTCTGTTCCAGATATTTAATGCTACAAGGGAGCTGTTGGACACTGCTGCCTACCAGTCTGTCCGCATCTTCTCCGTGTCTCTGGCTCAGGCAGAGCAGGAGCTGGAGGATCTGGCTGTGGTTGACTTGGAGTGGTCGAAGCCCACCTCAGGTGAGTGGGTGCCAGAGCACGGGCCCTCTCTTCTAGAGGGTCAGCGCCCCTGGTGGGATCTGTAATCCTGAATTTGGTTCTTACCTAATTGATTATGATTCAACCATCTTTTTTTCATTTCTGATTTGCCACCCCACTCCTAATGGTAGCTGTTCCTGAAGTTTATTCCCCAAGACTCCACTGGTGAGTCTTCTTCCTTGCCATTGACAGACGTCTCTACCTTCAGCTTCACGGAATACATTGAGGCCATTGCCGTGACCTCTGCTGGCATCTCAGCGCCTCAAGGCTCTCTTCCTTCCTCTTCTCTTTCTCCCTTTGTTTCTGGGTCTGCACACACTGGCTGGTGCCCTCTCACGGCCACCTCTGACGTGGACTCTTGCTTCCTCCAGGGTCTTCTTGCACCTGTAGCTCTGTCCTTTCACCCCACAGCCCGTTTGGCAGGAAATCCTTATTTCCTGCCTATTCTCTGTGGCTCTGCGCTATGCCCCAAGGGGACAGCTGTGAGCAAGACAGACACAGTCCCTATTCCCAGACCTTAGCATTTCTTTTATTATAATGAAACAAAGCAAAATAACCTAACAAACACTGTTCACACATGCCTTATCTCTCCCCTTTGCTTTGTTAAACCTTTCTAGAATGTCTTTTTTTCATTCTTTTCATTGCCTTTCCATGTGTTCACTCTTTGACCCTTTATACTCTGTCTTCTGCTCTCATCTCAACAACTTGTTTGCCTCAAAGTGAGTACCTTCTTCTAATTATACACCCTGGAGACTTTTACAGCATTCAACACCCCTGGCCGCCCCTTTTAGGAACCACATGCTGCTGTTAGCCTGTGTGGTGCTTCCTTTCTCTAGTCTTCTCTGCCTTCTCCCTGCCTGTGTCTTTGCCTTCTTCAGTTCTTCCTCCAAATGTGGCCCCTTGTGCTCTTTCTAGCCCCTTTTCTTTTTTGTCTGTGCGTGCTTTACCTTGGTAACCTCTATTGCTCCTGTGTTTTCAAGTATTAATTAATCTAACCAATATGTGAGTGCCCACTACGTGCTAACCCTGGTCTCAGTTCTGGGGGTACAGCAGCAAGCAAAACAGGCAAGAACATCTGATCTCATGGAGCTTGCCTTCCAGAGCAGCAGAATATAGAAAATGAATAATAAAATTAGTTCTGTAAGAAGTATCTGATATTATTCAGGATCATACTAACTCTCCCTTGAAGAACTTAGAAACTAAGTTTATTTTGGCAAGTTTTTGGATGACTCTTGTGCTCCATGAACTTTCACCACATGTTATCCAAAACTCAGGAATCACTTAGATTTGGATAACGTGCTTAGACCTTGCTGTCACCTCCCCTTCGTTCTCTGAACTCAGAAACCAAATCGAGTTGGGGGTATCAGGGAGAGGTTGGGTGGCGATGCACGCCAGTGAGGCAAAGGAAATAAGAAAAGGCATCGGGGAGGGGGCCAGTAGGGACTCCGGGGCGAGGATGGGCAGAGGTTTCCAGGTCAAATGGCCATGGGAGGCCCAGTGAGAAAGGCGGCACGTCAGTAGTAACCTGAGAGAGGTGGCGCTGCAGGCGTCTGAGGAGGGGCGCAGTGGGCCAGTCCGCCTCACGTTTCAGGTCAGTCCTGCCTCTTCTCTTGTCACTCCCCTCTGCCTGCAGGTGGGAAGGTTTCCTGACTTCAGGGACTCGTGTGATTAGATTGGACCCCTCTCGATAATTCAGGATTATCTCCTGTCTCAAGGTCCTTAACCCCAATCACATGGACAAAGTCCCTTTAGCCGCCTAGGGAACGTGTTCGCGGGTTATGGCGTTGGGGTGTGGACATCGTCGGGGGGCTCTTCGGCCTACACGCAGTCTCATTCTTAAGCACTTTCCCTCTTCTCTAGGGGTGTGACCCTTTGGGTGCGTTTCCCTCTTCTTTACTCCTGGGTGTGACTTCTCCTCCTGTCGTATCTTCCTTTTGTAGTCCATGCTCCAGTCCAACACTGTCGCATTTCCCCCCCTATTTTATGTGCCTGTGCATCTCTGGTTTGTTTTTCTGCCTCGAGTGCCAGCTCTGCTTATGAAACTTCTGTCTGCCCTCCAAGGTCTCCCCTCCGCTCTCTCCTGTCCCTCTTAGTCACCTTTTCTCTCTCCCGCACATCAGTGAGCCCCGCTCCCTACCAGCCGCCCACACTGCCGGCACCAGCCAGCAAACAGCCACCGACTGCCTGCAAGGTCCAGACCCCGAATGGGGCAGACCGAACGGACAGTTTGCTGGGGTCAGGGAGACACTGCGGAGAGAATTATGGCAGCACCAGGAGGAGGCCAGTTTTTAGGGGTTTTATGATCTGCCTTTTATTTTATATTCATTCTTTTGCTGTTAAAAGCAAAATGCCTTTGATACATGTTAGTTCCTCTTGAGGCACTTACCCATTTTTTTGCCGTGTATTTTATTCAGCTGAGTAGATGTCTTATTTTGTAGACTATAAGACCCATGCGGAGAGGTTCCATGTTTCTCCTGTTCTTTTTATTTACTGTACTCCCACCACCCAGAAGTGCCTGGCACCTCCTAGGTGCTCAGCCAGTTTAATAAGACCATCAACTTCCTGAGTGCCACAACTATATTGAATTTGGGTCTTTGATAGTGCCAAGCCAGCGACTTACACAGAGTAGCTCTTTAATAAATACTAGGTTGAATGCTCCCAGCAGTTGGGCGTGTGTGTGTTCCCCTCGTCATCTGCCTTCTTCTAACGTGGAAGTGGCCCACTCTGGCGTGTGTTGGTGACGGGGCTGTGTGGGCACATGGCTTTTGTTGACTTCCCTTTTAGCCAAACTTCCCATTACTGATTTGTCCATGTTTTCATTACCATAGCTATAAAATTGGGTATAATATTACTCAGAAAAAAAAATACACATTTTTTCCTCGACAAGCTCCCTGCTTGCTTATTGCCTTCCACAGAGCCACACGGGGCGAGTGGTGAGATAAGGCGAGGTGAGGGTAGTCCAGGCCCAGCGGCCTGCCCGCCCCTCACCTGCTGAGCAGGACTGTTCGCATCCGCGGGTTCTCAGGAACCTGGAAGTGTCGGGAGTGTGGGGAGAGGTCCGCCTGCCTGGCGAGGGAGGAGCCTGGGCTCTCTGCTGATGAGACGGCTGCCTCTCCGCCTTATCCCACTTTTGGGAATAGGAAGGAATGTTGGGGTGACCCACACCCATTCCTATCCCCTCAGCCCTCCTTCTACCTACAGGTCGTAGCTGTGGACTTTGCCCCTAACTCTTTAACTGTTTCTCTGAACAGAAAACTTAGGCCATGGAAGCTTTAAGTACATGTCAGCAGTGTGCTGGCTCTTTGGGCGCTACCTGTATGACACTCTGCGGTATCCCATTGGGCTGATCTCCTCCTCGTGGGGTGGGACACCCATTGAGGCCTGGTCATCTGGAAGGTCCCTGAAAGCCTGCGGGGTCCCTCAGCAAGGGTAAGAAAGCACCCTTCAGTCCCGGAGCCAGCCTGCCAGGGGCTTATCCAAGAGAGGAGGACCAGGGGCTCCTCTGGGAGTCAAGTATATTGAATGTCCAAATATGCGTTAACTCACTGCACGCACACGCGAGCTGCTACTTCCACTATCATTACCACCGCAGTCACCTGGGGGTATGACACGAAGCAATTAGGATTCTTTTTCTTGATAATAATTATAGCTAATGCTTACTGAAAGCTTTATGCTGGAAGATGTTATAAGCAGTTTATATATAGTAATTCATTTACTACTTACAACAACCTCTTGAAATGAAGACACTATTAACTTACTGTAGGTGAAGATACTAAGTCCGAGAGAGCTTTAGTAACTGGCTCATGGACAGACGGGTCAGTGGTCAAGTTTAGCTTCATTGTCTGTGCTTTGAACCTCTGTGCTGTATTATGTATAAGAATATACAGTGTAACAGGAAGAACAAATGGACATGTAAACAGTGAAATGTATAGTATACCGATTAGAAAGCGCACTTAGGAAAAGATAGATCAGGAAGAATACTTGGTCGGGGGGTGGGGGTTGGAGGACGGGCCGGTGGGTGAACCTTCGTACTCCCATGAACATGGAGGTGAAGAACATGGGAGCTGCTCTCACAGACTGGCCCACCATCTGGGAAGGGCTCTGGGAAGAAGGTGGACTTGTGCTCTTGGTGCAGCTTGGGCAAGGGCGAGGCTGTGTAAACACATCCAGTTTTAGAGCAGAAAGAATAGCCTGTGGGAAGGTAGGAGGACCCTGAAGCCAGGCTGCCAGATCGCTTGGAGGGGACAATTCCGAGGGTGTGGGGAAGTGGGCATTCTCACACACAGCTGCTGTGAGTATAAATTCATACACGTATTTTACAGAGAAATTTAGGAACATGTTGAAAGCCTTAAAAATGTGCATTTTAACCCAGTAATTTCATTCTGGGAATTTATCTAAAGGAAATGCTTAAGTCTGTATGTAATGATCAAGCTATAAGAAAGAGAACCATGGCATTGTTTATAAAAGCAAAAAGCTTGAAATAATCTGAGTCTATCCATTGAGTACAAGTTAAATAAATATATTGCCCGTGTGAGAGAGAGATAAAACATTTGTTCTCTCTGTGGTTTTAATGACCTCATCTGGAAACTGGGATGGCTCACTCTGAACTCCAGAAAACTGGTTACTACACTTATCCTGGGAAGAACCTGGAGGTGAAATTCAGAGACTACTTTCATGTTTACATGTGAAACAGAGAGGTTCAAGTTAATTCTGTGTTGCTTTCATCAGAAGTTTGCCCCAAGTGAAAGGTGGATAGATGCCCAGCTAAGGGATCTAATGCGATCAAGCACTAGTTCCCTTGTGACGCTTGTGCATCTTATTGATTTCAGGTTCATTCCAGCTGATTCTGTGACTGGTCCCAGTGAACACTCTGTTCTGTGGAATGCCATGATCCATCCACTATGTAATATGACTCTGAAAGGCGTCATATGGTACCAGGGTAAGTGTTCGATTTGCTCTTTCTTCATTGTGTCAGTTAGCTTTGCTGCATAACAAACTGTCCTAGAATTTAGTGACTTAAAAATAATTTTATTTAGTTCACTATTCTGTGGGCTAGCAGGGCAGCTTCTGTGTCCGAGTTGCTTCAGCTGATTTGTGCTGGGATCTCTTACGTGTTTCTGGCCCCCTGGCAGGTTGTCCGATGGCTGGGTGACTTAGAATGGCCTCTCCCTCCTGTGTGAGGACCAGGAGCTCGCTCTCTGCTGGGACCCGTGGTTCTCACGTGGCCCCCCTCCTTCAGCAAGCTAGCTCAGACCGACTGACCGCTTACATAGCAGTCTCAGGGTGCCAGGTGTATCAAGAGAGCGCAAACCCCTAAACTGAAACACTTTTCAGGCCTCTTCTTGCATCATGTTTGCTGATGCCCTGCTGGCCCGAGCAAGTCACAAGGCCAGGCCAGAGAGACTGCAGGAAGGCCCCCTTCCTAAGGTGGAGGTTGGGGAGTACTGTGTGGCCGTTTTTGCATCGACCCCCAAGTGCCCTTACAACTCGGACTGTTTTCAGGGGAGGCCAATGTAAACTTTGACAGAGACCTGTACAATTGCACGTTCCCTGCACTCATTGAAGACTGGCGCCAAACCTTCCACCGCGGCTCTCAGGGGCAGACGGAGCGCCTCTTCCCGTTCGGCTTTGTTCAGGTATGTGTTGAGGGGAAGAGGGCGTGGGCTTCGCTGGGGGGATGTGCTGTTGAGATCTCTTTCCTGGAACCCATATTTCTTCTTTTTTCACCCTCTTAGCCACTGGTCAATAACTGAATATAAGACTTAATTCATCTCTGTTCACTGATGGGACAATTAAATGTTTTTAAAAAGTTAATAACTTTTAAAAGTTAAAAAGAAATAACTAGTATTTCTTCCTATTAAAAAGGCATTACAGAGAAGGTGAAGGGATTAGCCAAAGAACATGTATGTGTAACCCACAGACACGGACAGCAGTGTGGTGATGGCCAGAGGGAAGTGGGGGCGAGACCTGGGTGGAGGTGGGCGAAGGGGGAAAGTGGGGACATCTGGAACAGTGCCACCAATTAACAAAAGGAAAGAAAAGCATTACATGTTCATTAAAGAAATATTAAAAAGATAAGATAAAAGCATTTGTAATTCCACAGTCCGTAAATAAGCAGACTTTTTTGCTCAATATTTTGCAGGAGGATCCGTACCATGATACTGTACCATGTCGTGCTTTTTCTTTCTCATAATGCCATATAGTGAATATTTTTTCATGCCAATAAATATTAATCTTAGGCATAATTTATAATGATTACAGAGCATTCCAAAATATGATTATATTGTAATTTACTTAACTAGTCCTCAATAGATGGGCACTTAGGTTGCTTTAAACATTTTGCTTTTATAAGTAGTGGCATGTTTATAGTCCTTGTAGCTAAATCACTACATACATGCTTAATTATTTCCCGAAGAGAAATTCCCAGAAGTGAAATTGCTAGGCTAAATGAAATACTTTTCAAGGCTTTAAACATGTTCTCAAATTTCTCTGTCGAAGTTTATGAACTTGTATAAATTTATACCCTTAGCAACAGTGTGTGAGAATGTTCACTTCCCCACGCCCTCCCCAGCTTGGTGCCGGCCCTGCCACTCCTTAGAATGAACCCTGTTTTCTCACTCCCAGCCCACTGCACTTGCCCTTCGCCTGAAATACTCTTTCCCCGAGCTCACTTTTAATTACCCTATAGGTCTCAGCCTGGATATAAGTTAGGAAGCCTTCTGTGACTGTCCAAAGTCTGGGTCAGACAATTCTCTTCCCCCAAATGGGTGATTTTGTAGCACCTTCTACATCCCTTTTTCCTTGCATGTAGGTTGCACACATGACCGGATTTTCCTGGATCACTTTTATATCCCCAGAACCTAATTGGTTGACACTTATTAAATGTGGCCTACCACATGAATAAAATATGCATCAAGAGAAAACATACTTTTAATTAGTGATAACTAGTCAAAAAGATGCTGCTCTCTCAGCCTTGTCCAAAAAGAATACACACATTTAACAAAATTCGTAGTTGCCTTCCCTCACCCGTTTATAAGACCCCTCCCTCTAAGACCGAGGCTGTTAGTAGGGTGGTGGTTCTGACTTGGCTGGAACATATGCCATTAAACAAGTAAGGTGTTATAAGAACAAGGCCCAACTCACAATGTAATGATGGAAGGGGCTTTAACGTGTGAACTGGACCTAATACTTCCAGGTGGCTGCCTCTGAGTGTCCACAGATTCCTCCTTCCCACCACCCGCCCGTCTCCTCTACCTTGTCCTACTTCACCATACTTTTTTTGGGTAAAGATTTTTATAGATACTCTTTGCACTTATAATTACTTTAAAATCATTCTTCTTACATTTATTTTGACTTTGAAACAAGATTATTCTGCTCATTATTATCAAAATAGCAACTCCTGTCCCCAGCTCTGTGTTACTGTTGGTGGAAACTACATTTAGATTTGAGGCCCCCTTTTTTTTTGTCTCTTAGCCTGTGCACATGGTGATTTAAATGTGATTTCAGCCATTTCAAACCAAAAGTATATATTGAATGCTTATGATATGCTAGGAGCTGAGCAAGGGCTAGAAACAGCATGTATCCCGGAGACCTTGGCCTTGCCCTTAGGCCTTACGGTTTAGTAGAATCCCCTTAGCCTCTGGGCTTTCACTTCACAACATCAACAGAAATATGTTGATTACTTGGGGAAAACTGAGACTGTAAACACCGGCCTCCAAAGGAAAACAGGAGACTTGGCAGCCGTGAGAGCACGGATCTGAAGCCAGCCTGCCCGATTCAAATCCCAGCCCTGACACTTCTTCAGCTGTTATTAAGTATCAGGTGAGGTAATTCATGTGAAGCCTGGCACATGACAGGTAATGGTAGTGTTTGTTTTTATCAGCAAGAGAAACGGGAACATCTGGAGGGACAGTTGGCCTGTAAGGAGAGATGAGGTGTTGGGTTTGACACGATGGCTGCAGTGCCTGGAGTGCAGCTGGAGATGAAGGACCCCAGCTCAGCGGGTAGACCAGGGCCACACTCGGGTGCCAGAGGGTTAGTCGCGGAGAGGTGACCTGAAGCGTGGGAGGGAAAGGGAACAGCAGGCTGGGGACGGGAGTCCTTAGCACTGTGCTTTCTTAAAAGGGGTTTGGAGGACCAGTGGAACAGACTGCAACCTGCAGTATGTTATTTGAATGTGGCCACCTTTATATTGTTTGGCTATTATATGCCTTCATAAGCAGCAGTAGTTCTAATCACCAGGGCGGGCTGAACTGCATCTCAGATTAGGAAAAAAGCAATTCGGTGGTGGAGTTCAGTTTGCTGGTGCCCCCGTGTGGCCAGTATGCACTACTGCAGTCAATGAAATGGAGTGCCGAACGGCCCCAGGACTTCCAGCAAAACTGCCATTTTGAGAAAACTTCGTGGCATGAGTGACTGTTGATAGCATTTCTCCCTGTTGTGCTTCAGGCTGGTACTTACTCTAGATCCTTCTGGTAGCTTCGTTGCTGTGCTCTCCGTCCTGGCATTGACTGAGTGACCATGGTTCCACTTTCAGTCTTCTGGGATTCCGGTGGGAAGAAGTGGGGTGACTCACCGATCTTTCTGTTTCATTTTCTAGTTTTCATGAGATTCCACTGTGAAATGTGAGCACCTTTTATCATTTCCTAGATTAAAGCCAGTTTGCAGAAGAGATTTTATTAAGAGAGTTGGAAATATCCTCTACATTCCATATCATACCAGTCAACGTAAGAAACATCCAAACCTGTAGAGAATTTTTATGAGTTTATTTGAGCCAAACTGAAGACAATTGCTGGGAAGCAAAATTTCAACAGACTGAGATTTGCTCCAGAGAATGGCAGTTTTGCAGTTTATTTTATCCATTAGAATCAAAGCTGGAGATGTAAGGGAGTTACATGAAATCCCTTGGTGGTAGATTAAGGAGGTGGGAGAAAGTAAAGCAGGGAAACCTCTGAGATTGGATAAAAAGTAAAATGCAAAGACGTACTTCTTTTACATTGGTGGGAATAAGATAGTAATAATTAACATTTACAGCACATAGAGATGGCGTGGGGGAACAAGATACCTATGAGGGGTTCTGCGGTCTGGTGCAGAGGTTGTGCCCTGAGGGGTCTGGAAAAGGCGGACTCTTCTGACCTTCCAAAGGTCTGTTATCTTAGACGCAAAGAGATGACGGACAGGCTCAGTTCAGGCACAGACTGACCTTTCTCAAAGGATCTGCAAGCCTCAGACGTCACTACTTGCTGTGACTTGCTTTCAGTTAGGTTTTTATCTTGAGACCTTCCTCTGTGTTTACCGGCTGTCTCTGAGTTTGTATGGCCCACCTTGCGGGCCTCTCCTGAGCTTGTCAGATGTAGTATGTGGCCCCTTTTCCGTCTACATACCCTTCATACCATATCCTTTTTGCTACTGTTGCTTTCTTTTCTCCCCCTTTAGGATACTCTCAATATATCAGTTAGAGCGATCCTTTGAGATGTACGTCATATGAGAAGGCTCCATTGGTTCCGACATACAAGCCATACATGATCTGCCCCTGCGTCCCTTACCCTCTAACCTCATCTCCTCATTTTCTTTGCCTCGCTCACGCCACTTCAGCCACACTGGCTGCCATACTTTCTCCAATCACACTAAGTATACTCCCACCCTAACCCCACCATGTTTTTTCCTCCTGCCTGGAAAGTAATTTCCTAGTGTATTAGTTTTTATCACTACATAACAAGTTACTGCATTTTTAGCAGCTTAAAACAAGGCCGCGCTGTGAGCTTTCACAGCTTCCGTGGGTGAGGAGTCTGGGTGTGCGCAGCTTAGCTGAGTCCTCGCTCAGGGCTGCAGTGAAGGTGTCAGATGGGGCTGGGTCTCACCTGAAGCCGAGGGTTTTCTTCTGGGCACAGTGGCTGCTGGCAGAATTCACATCCTCGGAGCTGTAGAAGTCATGGCAGCTTTCTTCTCGAAGGCCGGCAGGAGAGACTCTCTGACTTTTAGGCCCTCCTTTAGGGGCTTACCTGACTGGGTCGGTGTCACCACTATACTCTTGCTGTGGTTATTTTGAAGTCAGCTGATAAGGGACCATACTTAGTCTGCAAAATCCCGAGCAGACAACTCCAGTGGAACAGATTCTGCGTGATGGCTGTTGTCCTTTCCCTTGTGCCCCCGTGCTCCGTTGGATGCCTGGTCCTGTCGGGGTGGTTCTAGACTGCCTTACCTCTAACCATCCCCGCCCCACTACTCTCTTTCTGGGTTAGCCTTTTCCTTCTGTGTCTGGAGTATTATAGCACCTTCTGACCTAATCAGTCTGCCTTTTTATTTCTTCACAGATCGTTTGTATGAGTACTAGATTAATCTTTTGAAATAGTCTTTTTATCGTGTTAATAATTTTCGTGGCTCTCTAATTTTTAAATGGAGGTGCAATTCACATAACCATTTGAAAGCGTTCAGTTCGGTGGCATTTAGTGTTCTGCAGCCATTGTCGCTACAGTGATTTCCTGTTGCTTATAGAATAAAGTATAAACTCTATCCAAATACTTGCCTTACTATCTTACCAACCTTGTCTTTCCCACATAAATTCTCTACTCCAACTAGGTTGCTCTCTCTCCCAAAACTGCCTTTCTCTTTCACCTTTGCATCTCGTAAGGTTCTAACATGGGACATAGAAGCAGTCCTATTTGCAGTGATGTCTCATATTTTCTGTGCCTATTCATTTTTTTAAACATATGCTGACGTTATGTTTTCTTATAGTAATAAACTTTGTTCTAAATGTAGAGTACTTACTGTCTGTGCCGCCAATATAGCAGTTAATCCATATTATTTTAGAGTTTATGTAAATATCTCTTATGTGCAGGTCTGCCCCATAACAAGCTGTGAAGTACTTGTACAAGTTAGCTACTGCTAGGTAACAAATCACCTCCAAACTCCATGACTTAAAATAACATTTATTATTTTAGCTCCCGTGTCTGGGTCGCCGGGGGTCGGTTGATCTTGGCTGAGCTCCGCGGGGCACTTTCAGACCTCCGAGGGCCCACTGGGGAGCTCTGCTGCAGTCTAGGCTGGGCTGGGTTGCGTTAGAGGAGGCCGCTCTGATCCACAGCTGTCATCGTTCTCTTGGGAGTAGTGGCTTAACCTGGGCATGTCATTCTCCTGGTGATAGCAGAAGTGTTAAAGAGTAAGTGGGACCACGCACGGTCTCCTGAGGCCTAGTCTAGGAATTGGCACCCCATAACTTTCTGTTTCATTGATTGGCCAAAGCAGGCCACATAGCTGAGCTCAGAATCAAGTGGTGGGGAAATAAATATACTTTTCCTCTTAATAGGAAGAACCATAAAGTCATATGGCAAGAGGGTGTGGATATAGGAATGTGTAAAGAATTGGGATCCCTGATGCAATTTGCCCACACACTCCAGGCAGATGCCTCTTTGCTCTCCTGCACCGAGACCGGGAAAGGCAGCATGCGTGCTGCCCGTCACTGCCAGAACCAACGTGTAGGGACGGGGACTGAAGCTTGATGGGCGCTTTATTCCGATGGTCGGCGGAATTCAGAGAGAGGGTTAATCAAATAAAGGCTGCAGTCTGGCAGTTTTCCTAGCATCCTTTCATCTGTTGACCAGGGATTCTTTATCTGCGTCCTGGGTGGCAGGACATCCCTTCCCTGGAGCACAATGGCTTGCAGTCCTCCCAGGGCACAAAAGTGGAATTAGTTGCGGTCTCCTGGAGTCAGGGTGGGTCTGCCTTCCATTCCTGAAACAATAGCTTTTTACATGCACTAATTACTATATATATAGTTAATAAACTTATTAACTGTAACTGAAAACTAAAAATTGTCCAACTGTTGAGTTCCCTCGTCATTTCAGTGCCTGACCCTGTGTTGTACACAGATGTGTCCATTACCTATTGCTTTGCAACAAACTACCCCAACACTTCAGTGTCTTAAACATCAGCCATTGTTTTTGCTCATGATTCCATGGGTTAGCCAGGTGGCCTCAACTGGGACGGCTCACGCTGCTCTCCGTGCTACCAGTGGGCTTACTTATGTGGCTGCAGGTGGAACTGAGGCTCTAGAATTCACATGACCAGTCCCCTCTGGGATTGCTAGGACATTAATGCCTAGCTCCTTCATGATCTTCCAGTTTCCAAGGCTCCTCTGTCTGCATCTTTTCTCCATCAGGGTAGCTGGACTTTTTATTTTCATTTTATTTTATTTTTTACCCAGCTACCTAAGGGTTCTAGGGAAATGAAATAAGAAGGCAGAGGCACTTGAGGCAAAAGCGTGGAAGCTACACCTCACTTACGAGCACATTCCATTGGTCAGAGAACATCACAGATGTAGCTTAGATTCGTGGGAACAGACGTAGCATCCACCTTGTGATGAGAGGGCGGCAGAGCCACAGTGCGGCAGGTGGGATGAGAGGGATTCTGCCACTGCAGTGAGGAGCTCAGCAAATTTGTGTTGAATGAACATTTGAGCAAATGAATGAAGCGGAACCAAAGTTTGCTTGTGAAAAAGGCCCCAGTGTAGGATTCTGATGCAATAAAATTCTGATGCAACAATCTCTCTACTTTCTAGTTGTCTTCTGTTTTGCCTGGTGCAACCTCGGATGATGGTTTTCCCCAGATCCGTTGGCATCAAACAGCAGACTTTGGCTATGTCCCCAACCTAAGGATGCCCAACACTTTCATGGCAGTAGCGATGGACCTCGGTGACAGGAATTCGCCCTTCGGCAGGTATGGGTACTTGTTGGGCTCTGCTTGAATAATAATATATGTTCTTTACCTGTGGCCTTCACTGTGATGTTCTCTTGTGATGGGGAGAGAGCAGATGGTCTAGGATTGGACCTAGAAGCATTATTTGCAATCACACTGGGATGTGCTACAGAAATAAAAAAGAACCCTTAACATGTCAGTGCTTTGATGCACCAAAGATTCATTTCTTGTTCACACTACGTGTCCAGAGACCAATGGAGAGGCTTTGCCATCGCAGTCATTCACAGGTGCAGAGAAATAGAGGCACCACGTCGGCCTGTCCTTCCTCAGTCACCTCACAGCGCCACACTGGCGATTAACGGCTCTCCCTGAAGGCAACGCGAGTCCCTTCTGCCCAGCTTGCTTTAGCCAAAGCCGCCCTGTGGCCATGCCCGGCTGCAGGGAGAGCCAGAAATGTGACTCTACCGTGGGCTCCGAGGAAGAGCAATGGCGCGTTTGTGCGTGGCCCCCGTGACTCCTACGCACTGGCTTTAGGATAGGAGGGGGTTTCAAAGCAGCCCCGCGCACAGCGTCTAGATACTAGTGGGGACTGGAACTAATATTTATTTCTGAATGAATAAATATTTATTGAACAAATAAAACCTGGAGGGGACCAAGTAACGAACAGCTGATTCAGGTGGAAACACAGGATATGTTGGTTGGGATAGTCTTTTGAGTTAGCTCACCTAGGTTAGTTCCAACACCCGCCCTCCCTCCCTCCCTTTATTTATTCCTTTCAAGTCATGTGTGTTTTCAAGGTTTCCAACCTGTAGAAGAGCCCACCTATGATTGCCATTTACCATTCCTCTTAAGCTGACTAGCCAGCCACTCATCACTGGCTATTAGGTTTAGTCAACTGTATTCCCATCTTCTTAAAGGGTGCTTTTTATATTATTTCTTTTTTATGTTTACTTTTATTTATTTTTAGTGTATTTTTCCACGAACATTTATTTATCCTCCTTATTCCCTACCCCGCTCCCCCAACAATCACCATCCTGTTTTGGGTTTTTTTTAAAAATGTGGTTATTATTGAGCTCAAACCCAGAGTTCTCTTCTTGTTTGTCCCGTAGCATCCACCCTCGAGATAAGCAGACTGTGGCCTACCGGCTGCACTTGGGGGCCCGTGCTGTGGCCTACGGTGAGAAACAGCTGACCTTTCAGGGGCCACTGCCTGAGAAGACAGAGCTCTTGGCTGACAAGGGACTGCTTAACCTCACATACTCCCAGCAGATCCTGGTGCAGAGGCAGGATGACAAGATATTTGAGGTGAGGACAGCAGAAACAATAGGAGTTTCTCCTGTTTGGGGCATCAGGGTTTCCTGCACAATGAGGCCCGTCCCTTTGATTTGAAGTGACCGTGAGGCAGGACTTTGTTGGTGGGGGGCTGGGCGTGTCTCGGGGGCAGATAAGCAGGTACTAGTTCGTTTGCTTAGAGGAGCGACTTTCACCCTTTTTCATCTCGCGGCACACACCGATTACTGCAACCCTGCAGTACACCAAGAAGTCTATTTTTTGCCAGTCTGACCAAAAAAAAAAAAAAAAGTATAATTTTGATTCATTCACACCAGACAGCTATAGTTGTGTTGGCCACTGTCATTTTTTTAATTTGACAGTCTAAGAGAAAAGAGGTCAGTGTCCCTGACTGGTCAGGTATTACATATTTAAAAAATTCTTGTGGCACGCCAGTGTGCTGCGTGGCACACCAGTTGAAAATCACTGGCTTAGAGGCAACTTCGATAGCAAGGACAATCAAGGAAGGGAAAGGAGTCCCAATTCATACACCTTTAGTGTTTTCCCTCTCAGAGCAACCATCTCTGCTCTGGGCAAAGCCTGCAACTTTATTTGTAGGTTACTTATTGAAAGCATCTTTGTTCCAGAATACTTCCCTTATCCTTGGATGTCTCTTTTATCCTAAATTCTGATATTCTTTTGAGTTTAGTGTCTCCTTTAAGATGCTTAAGCTTGGTGGTGTGTAGCTTAGTGTGAATTTATATAATGAAACTACTTTCTTCTAATACCTAGCAAGGATCATTCCACTGTGGAACCGGGGCTATTGATTAAAGAGGTTCTTTTGAGTCATCCATAGCTGGGGGCGCAGGTGGAGGCATTCCTAGGTGGAATATTTATAGGAGTGTCTGGGAATCAAGAGGCCATCAGGCTGGGGTTTGGGTGTAGAAGAGGGCCCTGGAGGAGATGAAGGAATATCGAAAGCAAACTTGAATGGTACCATTTCTCTAGGGCAGGTCCTCCTCTGCGTCCTGACTACAGTCTCCACTTGCCTCAGGTGCTTGGTTGGCAACACTTGGGCCACTTAGCTTCTGGACGCTGAGTTTTACGTAAATTCTAGCCTCCAAGGAGTTTCTGCACTCCGTGTTCTCCACTTTAGTCAGTTGCTGGCAGTCTGTCCACCTCTTGGACCCAGAATCGTAGTTGTGGTCAGGTCAGAATTTAACCTTTGGGTCCTGGGTCATTTATGTTCCCTTCCCTGGATTGCATTCTGACTTCAGAAAGGCTTATTACCCAAAGTTTCTTTGTGCCCCCTCTTCATTCCTCAGCTCCCGAGGAGAGCCACAGGGGAGCAGCAGCTGGAGCGCTTGGCTCACTCAGGTTCCTGCTTCGCCATTTGTCGGGAGGGTGACAGCAAGAATGTCTGGGTCTCCCTCAGTAATGTATGCTTTATTGATTTAAGTCGTTTGTTTCATCGCATGAACATTTTATCAGCCTGTGGCTGTGTTGACCAGACCGACTCAGATTTGCTCTGGTTGCTGTAGGAAGTGGGTTCTTGGCTACTGTAGCTCTTTCTCTCCCTTACAGTCTGTCTGAAAGCATGGTTCCCAGCCTCTAGGAACATGCTGTGCTCGACCTAACCCTTACTTTTTATAACTCTCTCATTAGATCTTATGTTGTGGTGACCAGCAGTGCAAGTGGCTTCCAGCTCCCATGAACACTTTCTCCACCCAGAGCCTGGCTCTGAGTATCAGTTCTTGTTACGGCACTCTGGCTGCTCTCCGCTATGCCTGGACCACGTGGCCTTGTGAATATAAGCTGTGTCCCCTGTACCACCCCAGCAGTACCCTGCCAGCTCCTCCCTTCACTGCTCTCATTGCAAACCAGATGCCTGGGTATCACAGCAAGGCTGCTAAGGGGTGATGCAGTATGACCGTATCTTAGACCTAAGTATGGATCCCTTAGATTTGGGCATTTAGGAATTTAAATGATGACAACTTGCTGTAAGAGGAAATTAACAAAAAATCCTTTGTTGGACAGTTCCCAGCTAGCATGTGGCTGTTTCTATATTCTGAGATGAGCCAGGGCTGGTAGACAATGAAACGCCTGCCTTTTGTCCTTTAGTTCAGGGGTCCCCAACCTCTGGGCCTCAGACCAGTACCAGCCGGGCCTGTTAGGAACTGGGCTGCACAGCAGAACTTGAATGATCCCGAAACCATCCCCCTTTCCTCTGTGATCCATGGAAAAAATGTTTTCCTCAAAATTGGTCCCTGGGTCCCTGGCACCAAGAAGGTTGGAGACCACTGCTCTGGTTAGGCTGGTGTCTGTACTGGACTCATGCTAGACTGCAAATTGGACCTCAGTGTCATTCGCTTCCTCATAATTGGGGTGAAACGCCTGGCTGGCCTACATGGCCTTGTGAGTTCTTCCAACCCTTGTTTCCACAGGTCCAGGTGTAGGGAGACAGAGATGTTGCACTCTAAGCCACAAACAGTTCTGTTCTTCCAGTCTGTACAGTGATAATGTGAATGTTGACAGCCGCAAAGCAGAACCATGTGTACGCATCCGGGGAGGGGCTGAGGGCCAGCCTTAGGAATAAACAGAAAAGGTGAGGTGGTAGCAAAGACGACACTCGGGCTGACAGGAACAGGTCTGGGGGATCACAAGCTTGGAAAAAGTGTGACACTGGAAGTCACTGACAGGCAAACAGGTCATTAGAATTAAATATAAATCCCAGGCTCTTTAAAGGTAAGAGTTTTAACTATAAAAAGGATAATCCAGATAAAAGAAAAAAGTGAGGTTGAAAGTAAAGCTACAAGATAAGCATTCAGAAAAAGAATCCTTATGGGACAAATGTGCAAGAGTGCTTTTGTGTGTACTAGTAGGAATCATAATGTTGTTTATTGGTTGATTAAAAACAGCTAACAGCACTTGGTAACTGTGTTGTCTATCAGAAGTTAGAATAAAAGCATACAGTCATGTGTCGCTTGACAGGGACACTAAGAATGCGTCATTCGGTGCTTGTGTTGTGCGAACATCACAGGGTGCATTCACACAAACCTCGATGGTATTACTTGCTGGTCCTGGGCTACATACAGCATGTTACTGTACTAAATGTTGTTGGCAATTTTAATAGTGGTGTTTGTGTACTTAAGCATATCTAAGCATATGGGAGGTACAATAAAAATATGGTAAAAATGATAAAAAATGGTACACATGTACAGGGCACTTACCACAAATGGAGCTTGCAGGGCTGGAAGCGCCTCTGGATAGTCAGTGCAGTCAGTGGTGAGTGTGAAGGCCTGTCAACGTCCTGCGTTGCTGTACAGCACTGCAGACTTTATGAACACTACACCTAGGCTACTCTAAATTTATATAAAAATGTTTTTCTTCAATAGTAAATTAACCTTAGCTTATTATAACTTTCTTCCTTTATAAACTAAACCGAGCCAAGAAGCTCAGGTTCCTTTCATCCCCAACAACCTAGCGTACAGTGTGAAAAATGAGGTTTAGGGGGTGGATATATTAATGAAAAGTCATGTAAAAGTTAATTTAGTTTTTGTGGTTGAATAATTCAAAACATTCTGTGGGAACTCAGCTGAAAAACGAAATTTATAATCACTGTAGATGATGTGGATGCTAACAAAAAGTATAACCAAGTAAAAAGTCACCCTAAAATTCATCATTTGGAGACAGACAATATTTTGATGAATAGAAACTGTGTTTATATTTTACACACAGCATTGGGTATTTTATACCCAATAAATGAAAATCTGTGCTTTTCATTTATTCCAGCAAAATAATTTCTCTATGTAAATTGTATGTAGACTCTGCATTTCATTTTGCAGGAGCCCAGTTCTTTAACCAATTTCCCATTAGTGGACTTAATAGGTTTTTTCCACTTTTTCACTATGAAACTAATACTGTGATAATCGTTACTTGCAAACAGTCAAACCACACATGACTTCCTTAGGGTCCTTAATGTGCAGAAACAGGCTTAAGGGTAAATGTGTTTACAGTTGTGATACCTAGAGCTTTAGCTTCTCAGGAGTTCAATAGTTTACATTCCCACCAAGGTACAGTCCCACTTTTTATCTCATTCTCATTGATACTGCATGTTATCAAATTCAAGAAATCTTTAACAATCCAGTAGATGAAAAGATATATGGTGGTATTTTTCAAGTTTTTAAAAACTATGATCCATAGGAAAAATATTTGACATTCCATGTATCCCCATACATGTGAATGCATGTGATATTTGTATACATATATACACCATATTTGATACCAAATTTTTAACCTTTTGACATGTGATGCATTCCAATATATTCTGATTACTTTATTTAATTTTAAAAGACGTACATATTGACTTTGTAAGTTTAAGAACAAATGGGTTCTTTCTGTTCAAGGAAAGCTACAAAGTGAATATTCTTTAATAAGCGTAAACAGCACACTAACTTATTAAACATTTTTTTAAATGTCTTTCTTAAAATGAAGCTCTTTTAATACGTGATTTATTCAAGCTGTAATAGAATGGAAAGGTAATTTCTAGATGATAAAAGCAGCGTATATCATTTCTGTGTAAGTACAGATGTGTTCAGGCAACTTACAGAGAAAAGACAAAAGAAAAATAGTAAAACAGCTTTGAGTAATACCCTCTCCACCCTTGATTTTCCATAATCCAAATTATAATTTTTTGCACTGTAAAAGCTTACAAACTGATAAAAAGACTATAATTAAGAGTCATAAAATTAATGCTCCTTTAGCTCCTGATACGTCATAGCGACCAGTGCAGGGGGCTCTAAACGCTACTGCCCAAGCCCTTCCCCAGGTGGCAGTTATGAATCATGGCACAGTGACAATCCAGTTCTCACCCCTCCTTCCCCAATCTCGTACCTCTGGGGGCCTTCTGTTCCTTCCCATGCCAGCCAGCCCCGGGACGCCCCGCTGCCCACCCAGCCAGTGGCCGTGGAGGGGTCGGCATGAGGCGATGTGGTGCGTCTCCGCCTTAGTGCCGTGAGCGGGGTCCAGACAATTCAAGTCATGCTGGATGCAGAGTTAGGTTCCTGCACGGTTAACGAAGTGACCGGGTCAGTCTGTGATGGATGCTGGGAGCCCATCACCAATCCGATCTAAAGTTGTTATCACACAGTTTCAATGTAGTAAAAAACACATCCCCTGATAAGAAACCATAAGAGGATGTAGAAAGTGTCAGGTAACCTTTTGATCCCCTTGAAGCATATGTGAAACGTGAGGAAATGGGTGAAGTGTGCTTTGGGCTGGACTCTCCAGCCTGGGGATGAGCAGGATTTGATTTGGACGATACTGACACAAAAGTAAAACAGCTGCTCGGGGTCGGGGGGCTGGGACTTAACGTTCCTTGAACTAGGATCAGAATCAAAGATAGAAGGTTGTCAGAACTGTACTAACTCCTGCATGAGTCGGCAGCCATTTCTCACTGGTTAATAAAGGATTTAAGTTTACTCTACCTGAGGCAAAAATAAGCAAAACAGATTATATCTGATAACGAGAAGAAAATAAGCAGAATTGTCAAGAGAAATTTATTACTAAAAATAAAGCGGGTGAAGTTTTTCTCAGGGAAAACTGTCACCATGGGAAGCTCCACAAGATGTGTTATCATCTTCTTCACTTCTGAGCTGCTGCCTCTCCCACATAGTCTAAGTTTCAGTTTAGTTTAAAAAACCATCACGATGAAAGCGATGCCATATCTGGCCCCTCCTTGTTCAGTCTAAAGACTGTGTTGGGCTGCACTGCGATGGAGACTTCAAGTGCTCGAGGTGATTATCTACCAAGGGTTCGTGCGCCAGGAACACAGGTTCGTAAGAAGACACAAAGTCTGCAGGCTGAAGCTCCGGGAGGTCCAAGGGTCCTGGGGAAAAAATTCCTTAAGTTCCAGTGCTGTCTTGGAATCTCAGGAGCCTGATCAGATACATATACATTCTATCAATACCTTTGTATCTGTCAGCCCAATTTCACCATTGGTTGGTAAGATAGGACAGATATTTACTTTTACAGTGAAGATACTTACTTTTACTATGTAGATTAAGTGACTTGCCTGGGGTTTTGTAGTTTATCAGGCAAAGAGTGAGAATTTTCATTCTCTTATTTTCAGTTCAGAGCTCTGCCTATAAGATCCCAGTGTTGATACCCTGGTTGTGCCATCCATTTATGGTAGGGAATCCATAGGACAGAGGCAGGACCTAGACCGTGACCCGATCCCCTTTACCCCACCTGGAATCTTAGTTCTACACAGTAAACCTGCCCATGGAGTTCCGCTTAGGTCTTAACTTCAGGGAAAAAGGAAAAGCCTTTGTTTCTCAGTGGGCCCTGCCTTACGGTGGTGATCACAGCCGTGCGTGCCCTATGACTTCTGTGAGGACTGTTGGCAAGCTGCGCAGGGCAGCAGGTTCTCTTGGCTCCAGGCTCTCCAGGGTCGGAGCAGTGAAAGCTTGTATCACTGCCCAGACATTTGGGATACTCAGCTATGGATGAAGGTAGCCTAAAATGGTCAATTTGCAAACCAGAAAGGTAAAATTAAAAGCTACCTTGTAGAATGGGATCATTGCGATCTTCATCAAAGGTCTGCCTCTGGAAGGCTTCAAAGCTTATAGCTGCCTCATTCTCCAGCAGGCCCTGGGGAGGCTGCCCGTCTCCAGGTTTGCACACGTCAAACTTCACCCACTGGTAACTGCGGGACCAAAGGGAATCATTATCAACAGCTGTTAGCCACAACTCATTCTCACCTCCAAAGGGATCAGGTCTTTTTTTCTGTAGCGCTCTCCAATATAAATCTTAAAACATATTAACTAAAACAAACAAACAAAAACAGCTTTAAAAAGATAGATAGGCTTCTCTACTGGCACATTATTCTGCAGGACTTCCTTCTGCTGTCATGGTACCCCCAGAAGACGACAATTACAGTACAGCGGAGAACTGGCTTCTCACCTGTTCAGAGGACTGAGACAGTACTGAGGCACAGTGGTCAAGGAGCAAGCATGCTTTGTGCACAGAAAGCAGCTCAACAGACGTATGAATGAACAAAACAGTTCACATCCCTGGCCCACTGATCATAGAAGCTTCTCTCAGGGAGGGGATGTGACCACACTTACTTGACACATTTTCGGGCTCCTGGACAACTCTGGATCAGGTTGTGGATGGTTGGATGAGAAAACCCAAAAAAGTCGGCTCCGGATGGAAGCAGATTAGACACTGGTTTCCCCCTAAACAAGAGAGGGAGAATTTCAATCCAAGAGCTGAGAGGGACATGGGAATGGGTTTAGGGCCGGGATGTGGGCGCGAACACCCACAGCAAGCTTTCGTGACTTGGATACTTCTGGAGACTTTAGTTGTAAAGACATCTGAATGATGAGAGAAAGCATCCTATAAAATAAGGGATCTCTGCTCATTAAAGCAAGAGAAAAGGTCTCACTGTACCAAAAGTGATCTTTTTCGCCTGTCTTCAAGCTGTTGATCAACTTACATAGTAGCATTTATGGCCTTGAGCAGTTCTTCATGACATGCATCTGCAGAAGAACTGACAATGGCATTCTGAGGGTCGTCTTCAGGAACAATTTCAAACTGAAAAAGATAAAGGAGCCTTTAAAGCAATTTTCAAGGAGGAAGTGGGAGAGAGAAAGCCATACTGTCCTGTAACTGTTCTTCACTCTGGAACCTGAAGCTGATGTATATACCAGACTAGGAGGTGGGTACAATTTCCTACAGTGCTGTTAAAAATTCAAACAAATCCAAGAAAACAAAGTCCTTTAACTTGTTCCAATTCTATACTCCTTGCTTGACTGCTCTCCAGAGGTCAACACTGAATAAATTCCCTGCCTCTCCAGACCCCTTCTGATCCACTTACTTACATCTCTGAGTACAAAAGGAAATGGTATCTTAAAAACAATTACATGGAAATCATTCTCCATGTAATTTTAATCTAAGCAGGGTATAGGCCATTTTGATTGCAAACCCCCTTTTCAATTAATTTTGTTTTTTTTCCATTACAGAATACCAAGACTATTTATAAACTGTTAAATCAAAATTATACTGAGAAAATTTTGCCAGGAGTATTTATGTAATAAGTGCTATCTAGCCAACTTAATTCCTTGACCAGTTTTCTATAAAGTTCAGTAACTTTCTGCAAAGAAACATACCTGAGGTTGCACACCACCATCCTTGATCTGACAGGTATATAGACACTTCTGGTCTGGGCATTTCATGCTGGCATAGACTCGAGTACTGCAGTAGCCCACCGGGTAGATGGCACTCTCGTCATGGAAGCCAGGCCGGTCGGTGATGATCTACAAAAGAGATCCCCCCCCAACCTGCAAGTGAAGTCACTGGAGAATTCAGAAGTCCAGTGTGCCAGAGGCAGCCTTTGGAACCACTCTGGGGCTGCAAAGAGTGATTCAGATCACACAGAAAGAGTGCAGGCTGTGTAGCAGACAAAACCGACCTGGTTCCTAGGGACTGGAGGTTTCCTGGTGTTGGTCTGGAACAGCAAGTGCCGCTACTAATGGGAACAGGGAGGGAAGGCTCAACCCCATTCCCACATTTCTGGTTCTCCTCTCTCTGTGTCGCTGGTCTCACTCACCTCCCCCAGGCTATATACTGTTAGACCCCCCAGTCCGATGGGGAACACAGGCCGTCCTGAGGGATCCAGGGCAATGGGCTGAACCAGCTTGCGAGCACCTCCCTCCATTTTCTTTTTCTTGGATGTTTTCTTCAGAACTGAAACGCAAATCTGGGGTCACCCACTTTAGGCCCCTCCCAATGCTAAGGGGAAGAGGAAAATTTACATGTAAATGCTAAGAGCAATAAGCCAGTCCTGGTTCTACTCACTGAATGGGCACAAGGGACTTTCCCCCAAAGCCCTGAGTATCCTCCTAAGCCACCCACCTGGCAGTAACCAATTTGAATACTACTGCTTAGGACCTAAAAGCCTTATACTTTTTAAGGCCTCTTATTTCACAGATCAGAAATTTCCCAAGCCTGCAGTATGCGCCAAAGGCCACCTAGCTCATCTCCCTGCCTCTAGGAAAGAGTAAACTGAAGGCAGAACGGAACTGAAGGCAGTTGAGGATCGGGAGGAAGATGGGAGCCTTAGCCTGCTCCCTGCGCATTTAACCAGGTCTAACTGGAACACCTCCACTCAAAATGGCTCTGATACACTTGTTCTCCAAGGGCTGCTGGGGCTGCTTAAGGACCAGATGAGAGTTTAAGTATATCTGTGGCCATGTGTGTCTACCAGTTAGTATCTGGTCTTTGTCAATAGTCATTGAGCCACTGGCGCAACTGATATCCCTTCCAGGGTACCTTCCAGTTTGTTGTTCTCTTTGCCTTTTTCTTTTTTCTCCTTCTTGGATTTCTTCCCAAATGGTTCCTCAGCCCCAGTGCCAGGCCCAGAAATGGGCCCTGCTCCTTGTAGAGTCCCCACAGAGCTGGCCACACCATAAGTCAGGGGCAAACTGGAGCTGTGGGAAGGAGCTGCAGGCTGTACTTCCCCTTCAGTTAGAGCCTGAAGCTGGAGGAGCTTCTTTAGCAAGTACCTGCATTTGGGAAGGGAAGAAAGCAGAGGTATGAGCTTCCATTTTACTTAAGTACTGGGAAAAGTCAGAACTATATACAAGATTATTACACTGATAAAAATAACATTCTTATTGGACCCTGAGAATAATGATGGTCCAGGGGGTAATACTCAAAGGCAAAGGATAAAGATTTGTATTGTATCTCTCTCTCTGTATCTGGAGGGTTGCTGTAACTTGATGTTGGAAGGTGTTAGACTTCTGAAAGGTATATACCATGAACTGCATATGTATACATAACCGCTGTGCTTTGCACAGAGTAGTACATACTGAATAAATATTTGCAGAATGAGTGTTTTTTTTTTTTTAACTGGGGAGTTATATTATTAGATTACTTATTAGTTGTGGCAAGAGGGCTTCATCAGAAAGATGAACAGAAGAGCTGTCTCATCACAGTGGTCTAACACAACCAGGATAAACAGGAAGCAACCACAGGTTGCTTCTCTGTACTCGATCAGTGGCCAACAGGCTGTGCAATGCACAAAAATCCCGCTGGAGAACAATCACCAGAGCAATAACACCGTATCAATCACCGAAACTGACTCTAAACACAAAATGAACTCAGCTCACCGTCTTTCTTCTTTTGCTTTAAGAAATTTTTCCTCAAGACGAGCAATTTCATCACAAATAGCAGCATTTTCCTTTAAGAAAAAAATTGAATATAATCACATAAAATGAATAAAAGATCAAAGTATTATGCTGGGAAGACAAGTTATATTTCAAAGTCCCTTGTTGCTAGATAAGAAGGAAGAACTAGTCTACCTTCCAACTATAAAAGAACCTATAGGTAACAGTAGAATCAAGTTCTAGTATGGGCAGGGTGATTACAGAATTTATCAAAACTGGGGTGCCTGAGTAAAAAGCGAGCACTATTAATGATTACGCCAGAGCAATATGGTAAATTAGGGTTGTTCTAGGCAAACCAAGATGTGCAGTCATCCTAATTAGGGTAGACTTTTGCAGATAAATGGGCATACTGCTTATATCCATAAATGCTTAAAGTCAATCCTTATAAATATGAGGACTATCCATTCCCAGGTACCTTGACTCTTGGGGGAGCTTACAAAACCAGCATAACCCAAAGCATCCCATGCAACATGAACCTTCAAGAGAAAACCTGGATGGAACAAAATCAACTCTAGTATGTAAAATTCTTAAACTTCATAATCTCCTTATTCAAGCACTGTCTGTTTGTACTGATGACACAGTCTATTTCCCAAGCAGCAGTCCTGGGAAAATGCTACAATTCAGGTGTTCCATAGGTGGGAACTCAAACTCTGAATGTTCAAAACAATAGCCCTTTTCTTCACAAAACTTTTATGTAGTACTTAAGGGAACCAAAGTCCTTCTAACAGCATAGGCTTCAAGCTTCATGTACCTTTGACATGTAGGAAATAAAAGAAGGTATCAAATCCTCTTAATTATACTTTTCTTATTTCTCTCCAGTGCACACAGCAAGTGCTAAATAAATGTTTTTGGAATGAATGTGCTAATTCCCAAACCTTTCCTTATGCTTCCAAAAACAGCCAAGAGATGTTCAAGTTTTTGGTAGAAAAAGTAAGGTGGTGGTTCAGACTGGGAAGACCTTTGAGGACTCCACTCTGTATTTCCATGCACCGAGGCGCGCTTGAGCGAGTAACAGTTTATCACAAAGTGTGGGGCTGGCCGACCAGTTTATTCATTAAGTAAACCCAACGCCTCTACAATAGAAGAACGGCAGAAACGCTAGGGAGACTCAAACGAAGGTAGAAGGGGGTAAACTACTGAAAGCTTCCCGTATGTGCCTGATCAGGGAAGGGGCAGACAGGGCGCCTAGGAAATAGGCTGGGTTAGTGGAAGTAATAAGCTAGAATCAGGGTGTCTGAGTTGGTGTCAAGGACTCTGACACTGTGTTTTTAAGCTAATCATCTCTCTGGGATTCAGTGTTATTTTAAAAATACTGCCTCGTTCTCAGGGTTCTGTTGAGAATCAAACGCATTTCCAAGAGTTTTGCGGGAATAACGGTAATGGCTAAAACTTTCTAGCACATCTAGATACCAAACACTTTCCTCATTTAATCTTCACAACTCAGCAAGGTAGTTATTAACTCTCACAGATGAAGTACGTAACCTGTCCAAGGACACAAGGGTACCGGGAAGCGATACTGCAAAAGCTATCGACGTTACTACTGCCTCTGCGAAGGGGGGCGGTGTGCGGAACGGTTTCGCGAATTCGGAGTGTCGAGACGGGAAAAGACCGAGCGGCGTCAGACTCACAAACACCGTGGCTTTGGCGGCTTTGCGCAGCCGCAGGTACTTGAGCCGGTACTTCTCGTTCTGGCTCCTCTTCGGAAGCTTTTTCATCCTGGCCTTGGCGGACTGCGATGCGGCCCGCGGCGAAGGGGCGAGGCCGCCCAGCAGGCTCATGACCCGGGCCCGCTGCGGGGCCTCTCGGGCACGGCGGGCATCAGCGCCCGGCCGAGGCGCGACGGCACGTCGGCCTTGTGGGGCCTGTGCTGGCGGAACCTGGCCCTGAAGAACCAGTCTCTCCAGAACGCTACCAGGGACAGAAATCCCGCACTCTAGCCCGCGGACCCTCCGTACTTTCACGTCTGCCTCGGAAGTAGCCCTGCCTGGAAGTTACGTCACGGCGCCGACGCGTAACTTCCGGGTGGTGAACGTGGATTCGTTTGGGGCGTGCTACCTGAAGGGGAGACCGGGCGGGTCGGGGGCCGGTGGCTTTTAACCTTGTGACGTTCAGTGATTCACGTCCCTTTGCTTAGCTGAGAAGTGTGATTGTTGGGCTGAGGCAGGAGGCAGCAAAAGCCTTCCTACCGCGAGTCTCAAACGCTCCCGCAGCTGACTGCGGTCAACACCAGCAGTATACACTCGGTACCCACCGGCCTCCCCCGAACTGTAGGACGCGCTCGAATGCAAGCTGCGGGACTGCTGTCTTCTTCCCTCACGCAGCTCGCGTAAATGTTTGCCTTACGCCTTGATTTTAGTACGAGTCGGGACTGCAGTGCTGAGTAGAAAAAAGTCTCTGCGCTCGCAGGTTAGAATCTAGCAGAAAAGACGGAAGATTTAAAAAGCTTTAATAATACGCAAGCACAAATAGGCACCGAGTCATGGTTTGCCCGATGGCACCAAAAGTGCCTGTACCAATACATTTATTTACGTGTAACCAAGGTCCTGAAATCGAATGAAGAGAGAAAGTTCTTTAGGATGCAATGTTGGTAAACTCACCCGTCTGGGAGACAAAGGCTTGTGTTCATTCTCACAGCAACGCCACTAGCTAGCTGACTCTCGGCCAACAGATTTTTCCTCGGAAAACTGTACTGTAGAATAATGGATGAGAATGAGAGTTCTAAACTGTAAGGCACTATTGATATGAAATATAATTACTGTTACATGTTAATAATATAGACATCTAGAGTGGCATGTGAAAATTAGGGAAAATATATACATAATTAATTAATTTATTAAATTCCCGGAGAAAAATCTAATGCTGATTAAGTAACTTAGAATTCAAAAGAGAGGTTTAGAATCAATTACCCAGGTATTTCATTTCTGAGAACTGTAAAAATAGTGGCACGGTCTTGACAAAAATAGATTTAACAAAAGTCCTTCTGTGTCCATCCATATTGTGAACTGCTCTTTGTGGGACCTGGGTGGATTTTAAAAGAGCAACCTCTCATAATGCCCGTGTGCTTCCACAAACATACTCAAGGCAGCCACATAAATTTATTTTTGGAAACTTCCAGGAATTTTTTCAGCCTACAAAATACCCACACTCGTGGCTTTGATGCTAGAAATTGGCACTTTACCTTGGACCCTGAAAATAGAAAGCCCTGATTGATCAGAAGAGATTTGGGGTATTTTCTTTTCTTTTTTAAACCCCTTGTCCCCTTACTGCCAGGTTTATTTGCTGTCCAGCCGTATTTTGTCATTGCAGGCTTTGCAATCCGACTTTATTTTCATTATTCCTCTTCATACCGAGTCTAGAAAATACCAGTGGAAGTTCTGGAAATTTCAAGTTCTAGAATTTCAAGAAAAGGAAAAGTGCTATCATTTGCCTTAGTTTGCAAGCTGTTCTGGCGAATGGATTTCAGTGGAATTTTTATTAGAATATTTATTGTTTGTTCTTCATTAGGAACATTTTTTTACAATATATAAAATATTTCATGCACATTTTTGAAACTTAGAAAACATAGTACAAAAAGTTTAAGAATCCATAATGCTGCCACATGGAATTAACTATTTTTAACATGTTGGTATGTGTGCCTTCATGCATCTTTATACAGGGTGTATCATATTGAATATTTTCATGCATCTTTATATACTAAATACAATGTTTTCTTTTTGTCAACTTACCAATATTATAGTCATTTTGAAACATCATTGTGATTTCTTTATAATTTTAAATGGCTGCTTAATATTTCAGTTATGGCATAGTCATTTCACATAATTATCTTCATGTTTGACTTTTTGATCATCAACTGTTGCAAAGTGCATCTTTGTGCACAAAGCTTTTTCCATACAGGATTATTCAGAGGCTGGGTCTATGTGCTCCAAACAATGTAATATTACCAAACAACATATTGAGTCAGTTTATTCAGAAGAATAGTGCTTATTATGGCAGAATGTTTAGATATATTTAAGAGGGGAATAGGGGGCAATATTAATATAGTGTAGTAAGTTTTATCTCAAAGATAGGTATTGGCTGATATGGCAGCACCCAGTTAGGGAATGGGGAGGAGATAGGAGAAAGGGAAGGTTTCTTGAAGGAATTGTGCCTACAGTGACTCTGAAGGAGAATAGGAGGGCCTCTTGGGTAGTGGGGACAGTGCATTCAAAGGCTTGGCATCATGAAAAGCATAGAAACTGCAAGTCGTTAATTAGAGTGAAAGATGTATATGGGGGAGGGGGCAAGAGGACTGAAGTGGTAGGCAGTATTTGGATCGCAAAGGGTCTTGTGTAGCAATCTGAAGATAAGCTTTTACCAGTGACAATAGGAAGCCATCAATAAATGTTTATATATCAGCCCTTTTGCTTGTTTTAGGTAAACTTACCAAATTTTTCAGGAATAACATAATTTTTCTACATACCTATATGAAGAGGGGTAAAACATGCACCTTTAAAAAGAAATACTGGATGAGAGACAGTTGGTATTGTGGGTGAGCATGGCTTTTGGAGTTGGATCAAGTTTTCATTAAATACAGACACAGGAATGGGAGTTAGCACATAAGATGGGGTGATGAGTCAGAGGAGAGAGAGAAGGGGATCACCGGCATTTTACTTAAGTGGTTGTTCTTCGGTGATTGGCTCCAAGTGGATGTATAGCCTTCCCTGGGCTATTAAAAGCACACCTGGGCCCATTAAACATTGTGAAGGAGTCTGCAGCCTGTAATTCCCGTTGGTTAAGTGAGTCCCTGAGTTAAATGACAAAAAGGTATATCTGCACACCTCATGGCTCCAGCCAGCTGATGCATGGCCCTGGCCTTGTTCAACACTGTCCTTACACCCCAAGAGCATATTACAAGTTCCTGCCATCACTGTCTCCTGACCACTTTGCAGGCCACAGTGGGCCTGGGCAAGGTTGATGTCTTCCACAAAGCAAGCTGGGCATATTCCTAGGATTTGAGGCCACACCAAAGGGTTTTCATGGATTTCATATCTTTATTCTCTTATCAGATTAACCCACTTGCTCTTTGGGGTAAGCTGTGTATGTATTCTAGGAGGGCCATGGAGTAGATATAGAGCGAAGACCCTGCCTCCAAAGGTAGCTTTTAGAACCTTCTCTCCTTGTAGAACGTCTGGACTGTAATTTTAGTTGTAGGGTTTTTTTCCTCTCATATTATGCTCTAGACCTAATTTTTTAGTTCTTTGACCCTTCAGCTTTAACTTTCAGATTTGTTTCCATGTATTGATTATATCTTCTCAGCTTTAGGATAACATGGTACAGGAATATATGATTCAGCTGAATCCAAGCTTAACGATTTTAAAGTGGAATTTTTTTTTAATGTTAGTGTGTGTGTTGGGAGGAAGGAGAAAGACTTTTACCCATAAAATTTCCCACCCCATGGTTTCTTAACTATGGGTTTTCATCATACACCCGGGGAGTGAGATGTTTAGGTTTTGAGGGTTCTAAGCCAGCTAATATAGTCATGAAATCGACTACAGTGTCAATGTTGTGCTTCTGGGTGGTTGTGTCTTTCAACACACATAAAGCATTCAACCAGCTAAAAGAGATGAGCTCAGAGATGTTGGCTCGGAGGAAAAGAAGGATCACGTTGAGGTCATTGATGGGGCACCCCAGCATCTTTCTGCTGAGGAGGTCAAATGCTGGGAGCATCTCATAGATGGACAGGAGTCGTTTGTCCCACCGACATAGCCGTGTGAGGTTGTAGATTATCACTGGAACCAGCAGGGTGTATATGGCTATAGTGGAGAGACTAACAATCTGGAAAACAGACAGGGAGGTCAGCCTGCATGTGATGAGATCGGGGATGTGGGTCTCATCGCTTAGCAGCCCTGTCTTGACAGAACAACTGAATTCCTTTAGGAAGAAGACATCCAGGTGGAAGTGCCCAAGGTACAGGTAGGTGGCCGAGGTGAAGAGAAGCAAGAGGGAGTTCCTCAGGAGGTAGGTAGCCACTAGAGAATGTGAGCGCTGCTTACATGCCAGGTACCGCTCTAGCAAGGGGAATTCAAAGTATCTTTCTTTCCGAGCCCTGGACGGGGAAGAAACGAGACAAGGTTAGGAGGGACCATTTAGAACCATATCCTGATGGAGCCATGTGGGAAAATCACAAAACCTGTGTGCCCAACATGGCATTATCAGCTCCTGAAAATCTGCCTTCTATGAGCATAACCACCTGCTCCCCAAAAGGAACTAAGTATATCTTAATTCTCCAAGCAATGAGTGTAATGCAGTAAACCCAGCGAATGATCAATGAACAATAAATTATCACACTGGATTTCTGCCTGCAAGGCAGACTAAACCTCTAAGCAGAAGTTTAGATCCTTAGGAAGGAGCATGGCTTATTAAATTAGCACTGGACTGGGAGTCTAAATATGGATATTGTGGTTCATGGTCTGTATACTCTTTATGATATTTAGGCAAATCCATTTATTTTGTAAAAATAAATGTGCTAACAAGTACTTGTTGAGAGCTGTGGTGTTCAGGTACATAGAAGCCAGTCCCTGTTCTAAAGAAGGTTGCAGCCTGGCTTGTGGAGAAGGGGCAGATAAAATATACAAACATAAAATAAAAATAGCACTTGGTTCCTTAAAATGATGAATACAAACCATGGTAGTTATAAATTAGGAGAGGGAGGATAACAGTATGGGCTGAATGTTCAGAAATCTTTACGGAAGATACTGTTGTAGAGTTGGCCTTCAAAAGACAGAAAGTTCAGAAAGAGTATGTGCACAAATCAGAGACAGAATATGGTTTCAGATCTTACCTCTTGGTTGGGGCCCACCCTGGCTATTCTGTTTAAAACTGTACCGCTCCACAACCTTCCAGCTTTCCTGATCGCCCCCACCCTGACCCTGCTTGACCTTTTTTCTTCATACCACTTATTTTCTACCATATAATTTACTCATGTGTTACGAGTATTCATTGCCTGTTTTCTCTCAGTAGAATATA